TGGTCCGTCCAGCGGCTCCTTTTCTATTCTGTCCAGCATCCAGCAAGCAAACACAAAAAACGTCAGTAAATTTCCACTAATATGCCAGGCAGTGTTATTCTCATTCAGAACATAACACACTTAATTTAGAAGTGAATGGGTCCCATTTGCACCAATGAGGGTGCAAGCACAATCCCCTGAGTGTTTGGATATGAACGATAAATCTATTATACAGTACATCTTAGTTCTGTAGGTTCCTATGTGGCTGTAAAGACGTAAACTGATGGTGGTTTTCAAACATCCTACAAGCATTTGGAGGTAACATTGCCATGCATCAGCTCTTCTCACTGCCTAAGGTGTGGTTTGAGTAAGCAGAGGTTTAAACCACATCGGAGGAAGCCAGAATGTGCGATCTTTACAATGAGCAGTTAAATTGTCAAATAAGTAAAAAAAACCAAAGGTTGACCTGAAAGAACTGCAGCTCCTTCTCCAGGCTCCAGAAGAAAGGGTGTTTGAGTACACTCTCAGCTGAAGGCCTCCTGTGGGGCTCCATGCTCAACATCTGCTCTATTAGATCTCTGGCTACAATGTCCCCTGAAAAATGACACAAACATGCTGGTTTTGACTATGTGTTTTTTCACTTAACAAAACTAAATTATTTCTAGAAATTCATACATTTTTGTCATCAAATAACAATCTCCACAGCTGTACTAAACTCTTCTTACAACCAATCACACAATAATCCACACCACCCGCTACCTGCCTGTACTGATCTAGATAACTACCTTATTGTTGTTGTACACTATAGGAAACAGAAGCAAAGGTTTAGTCCTCACCATGTTTGTCTGTTTGCAGATGGTCGAGGCTGTATGTGCCCAGTAGGATGTTTGCTTGCCTCTGCAGAGACTTGCCAAAGGGGTGACTTCCCTGAGATACCACGTAGTAGAACACACAAGCAGCAGAGAAGATATCAACAACGCAGGTCTGCAAGGGACAAGAGAAGAATAAAGGATGGAGGAAGTCAGTGTGGTATATAATAAAAACACATTCACCACCAACAAAATCTGTGTACAGTGGGGGTGTAATGGTATGTATATTCATCGCAAACAGTTTGGTATGTCTCTAATTTAGAGAGAGGTGGAGGATTGGGTTAGGTTGGGTCCTTGTGTGCATTCTGTGTCTGTTCTGCCTGCCGTTAATAAACAAGCACAAACTGCACTTATTCAGGAATTATCAACAGGTCAGAGTCTTATGATGGTGCATTACTGACATTATTTATTTTTGTTGTTAATTTTTTCCTATTGACAATATGCCAGTATGTACATCAACTGTGAAAATGATGGCCAGTGAGCCACAGTTGAATGTTTATATTTTTCTGGAACAAACCCACTCTCAGGAGTTCATTAGATGCCGTTATGTTTCAGTGAACAGCACAAACATGTTCTTTAATTGGCCCATCATTTTGTGTTTCTGTTGTCAATTCTGACACCCAACATATTTAAGCCACCTAGGAGAGCTGCTATGCTACCACTGACTCACCAGGTTGTCCTTGCAGTTCTCACTGAGAACCTCGGGGGCGATCCACCCCTCAGTGCCCGGCACCCCAGACCTTCTACTGAAACTGTAGCAGCCCACTGCCAGCTTCTTACACAAGCCAAAGTCTGAGATCATGGCCTGAAAACTCCTATCCACATCCATGGACGAGGACCCGCAGCGTCCGTAGATAAAAATGTCTCATTCTAAGGTAACGAAAACACAACGATTCATAAATTCAGCTGATTATACACCAATAGAAATATACCTATGAATATTACATTCCATTTTTGCCCATGGAGCCTCCTGAATGTTACACACTGGACCTTTAATTTGCTATAAATTAAAAAGGAGTGGATGATATATATTATAATATACATAATGTTCATCACTGACATGTCTCTACTTACTAAGCATTTTGGCTTGTTGGCCTTTAAGCAATCCAATGACTTCTTGCAACCCCATGTCATTTAAATTGTGAGCAGTTCAATCAGGGAATGATTCTCCTCGGATTTTATTTAAATTTGGTTTCATTTAGGTTTTTGAGACTGGAAGAGGTTAAACTTTTCATCATTTCACAAAGATTAGAGACAGACAGAATACGCTTTTCCCCGTTATACAGCATAACTTGTAAATTATCTGTAAAACCTTCCTTGAGGGGTCCCTACCCTGAGGTTGGGAGCCACTGCAACAGACTCACATGAGGCGCCATGTCTCTGTTCCAGAGAGTGACAGAAGTCCAGTTAAGGTCCAGGAGGAGGGAGGTGTAATGCTCCCCAAGGCCAGACACAAGAGAAGAGGCCAATGAGGTGGACAGCTGCAGGTACTGGTCAGCAAACAGCAGAGGAGCGACCGTGGTGTTCATACTGGACCAAAGGGACACAGAGAACAAACAAACATGCACTACATGATCATCATGACAAAGAAAACTATTACAGGCATAGAAATATACATTATATATGTAAAATCAAAAGAACACACTATAGAAATTGGGACTTTAACACTGTCACAGAAGGAATAGGCACAAGCTAAGCAATGCTAGTAATGATGGACATATACAGACATGACCATTAAGCCATCTATATAATGCATCCTATATAAAACTGAATAGAGCTGCTCACATCACTCTTCCATTAGATTTTCGCCGCACTATGAAGCCAAATGGGTCAGACTGGTATTCAGTGGTATACAAGACATCTTGGGTCGGATCAGCTTTGTTCTGAGGAACACCAGCTGGGAGCTTAACTTCATATCGCTGAGATGATGAATCCTTTAACTTAAGAGAAAACACAAGTCAGTTCAGTTTTATACTTGCTAATGAACAGTGTGTATAGAACAGCATAGGGTCTAATCTCTTGAACTCATCCATATAAATTAATAAAAGTTTTAAATATTGAGTCATTCACACAACTATACACATATAAGCCAGATTCAGAGTGCTACATATACATTTTCCAACAATACTAGAACTTTCACAATCATATCTTCAGACCATCATTGTCTACAACAACATTAGAAAGCACTGATGAAGACATTTACTTCATAATATTGGAGAAAAGTAAGCAAATTTCATTCCAATTTTTGACTGTACAAAATAATATTTCAGGGTTTTGAGCCATTTCATGGAAAATGAACTCTCTTCATCATCACAGCATGTACAATACAGCAGGGAATGGAAACTTTGTTTTCCCCCTTAACCTTTTTAAATCTACCAACCTTAATGGTCATGGTATATTTTCCTTATTATAGACATGCAAATCTTCAGAAAACTCAAGTGGACCCTGCTGCATTTCCTTCATCATGTCTTTTTAAACATAGTCTTGGATACTCACAGTGAGGTGTAAGCAGCCTGCAGTCTCTTCTATGATTTCTAGATGTAAAGTGGAGATATCTCTGGGGAGATAGGATGGGGTGGCACGAGTCAGGTTGGCAGCACGGCCTCGCGTGGTGGGACTGAAGGGACCCATTTTGTAGCCGGTAGTGATGGGTCGGTCGCGAACGATCCGGCTCTAAGAGCCAGCTCTTTGAAGTGAACGACGAGATCTGGATTTTTTTTTACCGTTTTTTCCCCTGTTTTTTCTGTTAAAGCTGCGTGATTGGTCAAGATGTGTGGTGGCGTCTGTGTATCTACACTGAGCAGGAGGGGGGAGGGAGGGTTACAGACACACAGGCACAGTGAGCACATGAACAGGTGGGAGGGAGACCTGTGAGAGAGAGAGAGAACTAGGCGCTACATAGACAGAGACTACACACTGGAAAGGTGAGGAAAATGAGTGAAATGTAGTGAAGTTTGGACACATTTTAATGTGATAGACAGTTCACAGACAGAGTGTAGACTGTGCAAAGTTAAACATTTCATATCGAGCAGATTTTTGTCTAATTGAGATGGGTCTTTGTTTTCGTATTTTATAATTTATTTTTGTAGCACTCTGTTCCATGTTGAGTATATTAAGTATATATTTGCTCATGGTGGTACTGTTGGGTCTCTGTAAATGTCATAAGGAGTTCGGTCTAGACCTGCTCTATTTGAAAAGTGTCATGAGATAACTTCTGTTATGAATTGGCACTATACAAATAAAATTGAATTGAATTGGTAAATGGACCTGTACTTGTATAGCGCCTTTCTAGTCTTCTGACCACTCAAAGTGCTTTTACACTACATGCCACATTCACCCTTTCACACACATTCACACAGTGATGGCAAAGTCCATTGAACAGAAACTAACATTCATACACACTCACACACCAATGCATGGCATCAGGAGCAATTTGGGGTTCAGTATCTTGCTCAAAGATACTTTGACATGTGGCACCAGGAGCCGGGGATTGAACCCACAGCCTTCCGATTAAGGAATGACCCGCTCTGCCTCTGAGCCACAGCCACCCGTTTTTTTTAATAATAAACATTTGATATAATGCATGTATTTGCATTAGATATTCATTTTACACATAATTTGGTAATAAATTAATTTAAGCAACAAAAAATCTGAGGAGCCACTTGGGAGCCGAAAGAGCCGGCTCTTTTTAGTGAGCCGAGCCAAAGGAACCAGTTCTCTAAAAAGAGCCGGAATTCCCATCACTAGTAGCCGGGGTACAAACTGGGGTAGAAGCACCAAGGTGGTCCTGCAGACTTTGGTAGAGGGACGTAGCAGCATCCCCTCTGTTCACACTCCCCCTGGCTGAGAAGCCGGTCCATGGCACAGTCAAACCGACTCTCAGGGGCCATGGTGCATTTAATGTCTCTGGAAATATCAGTCTTCTGGGAGCTTTCTGGGTGCACTCCACTTGTATCCACTGAATTGTTCTGTGTTTTTGTTGGATTAGTTATTAACAAGACTTTCATGTGGTTTGGTTCTATTTTGCTTAGCACAGACTGATCTAACCAGTCTGGTCTCATGGTTAGATACATTGTTAATGTATAAGCATGTTGACAAAGCAAAGGCGAGGAGGAGCAAAGCAACAGTAAAGTTAGACAGCACACCCATAACCTCATCACAGGGCAGAGGTCACTGCAGGTGAGCTCTGCAGGACCCGATTTGTGCTTCGTATGGTGCAAATATTCACTCTCAGAGTGAGTTGTACTTATTACAGAGAGTCATCACGAACATATAGCTAATGGAGACGCATTCACACTCACAGTTATGTTACATTTTGTGGATGTTGAATCATTTGCAGCTCGGTTAGTTGAATAGCTGTTAGCTAAGTTAGCAATAAGCTAACGAGCAGTTCAGTGTCGGTGCTATTATTTAGCATTCCCCTCATGTGCGAGCAGTGGTAGAAAACCAGTTGTGTTCAAGGTAGCTGAGCAATAACAAATAAGATTTCTGCAAGTTGTAATGCGAAATAGGACGAAGAAAAGTCCAGGCTACCATCAAACTATGGCAAGCGTACTGGGACAAAAGTGCTCAAAAACCACTACTGCCGCAGCTGCTGCTCCTCGGTCATTTCAGTCGTAAAACCATTTAAAACACCACAAGTTGCATTTAGCGAAAGGAAATGCATAGGCTAGAACTATGCTATCAAAATCCTTACTGTGATGTTTTGTTGGTGGACAAGTGACCACAATAATGTAGAAAGATTTTCATTATTTGATCATTATCAAATGATTTGTGTGATACCGAATTGTATAATACTTTAATCCTGAATTATCTCTGGTGATGATAATGTTATAATAGAAAAACCACATTGATATTTGCATATACATGTGCAGAAATATTATGTGCAATTACTTAAAAGATAAGTCAAAGACCACACACTGACACATTGTACACATTTTCTGTGTTCAACCAATATCAAAACCACAAACATCAACATGGGTGACATTTTTGGTTCACTCACTTTTAAATATATCAAAATTATGCTATTTTTATATTAATCTGCACTGAAAATGAATTAATCCCATATTAACAAACTTGTGTCAATCACAAAACCTATTAGTCCATAATTCTTTAAACTATAACTAAAATAAAACCTACATGATCAGCTCTAACATATCTAAAGGGCATCACGATGAAGAGATGAATAAACAAAGCTCTTTTGACTATTCCCATGTGTAAACTAAAAAAAAGATAATAAGCACTGCCAAGTATGACCCGTAACCTTTGGAACAACTTTACTGAAAAAATTGAACCATCTGACAATTTCACTTCACTGCAAAGCTGAATTGATCAGTTTTGATGGAATAAGGAATAAATATCTGTGTGTGTGTGTGTGTGTGTATTGTCATGTTGCCCATTGACCTGAAGTTTGTGCATACTGAAATGTCATAAATAATAAAATATTTTTTCAGCAATAAACGACAGTGTGCAGGAGTTCCTCATTGTTGTTGCACCTTCCTCCGATGGACCTGTCACACATTCATATATGCAGATTTATCTTTCTATATGCTTTTCTTGAATTTGCCATTTGATGTGCATATACAAGTATCAAGTTAGGTTCATTTTTTAAGTCTAGGCCTAACAAGGCTGCCATATAACTATAGTTGCTGCACTGTAAATTAATATTTTATTGTATATATTCTTAAAAGTCTCACTATCAGTTGAACTTGAAAGGTCAATATAGTTTGTTCAAGGAACGACAACATAAAACTAATTAAAAAGAAAATTGTTTATTGTATTCAGTGACATGTTTTATCTTATCTTATGTTTTACATATATTTAAGAACACTAATGTTTGCAGCGTCAAATATTTCTTCATGCTGCCATTAAAATTGTTAAGACATTGATACAGTACCAAGGAACATCATTGCATTTCATTCCATTGCATGGAATTTTATCTGGAAAAATAGTAATAATGGTAGAAAAAAATAATATACCAAATATTTTTCAAATGCAGTTGAACTTGATCTAAAACAATGTTAGTCCAGACAGAGACAGTAGAACATTTAGTTTACATTGTTATTACTCGAGTATGCAGAGTCAATCATGTCATAGTCCACCTTTATATACACAACAACTAGTTAGACCACAAGGAGTTTTTAACTGGTTTGGAAACAGTCTCAATTTAATACTGATTCCTCTATACAATCTATATAAACAAAAAAGACCATCAGCGAGAAGATTTGATATTTCTTTATGGTTATTCTTAATGCCTGCCACCAAGTCAGATTCCTATTGAAAACCATGGAACAGACGGAATGATGAAGTGAATACAGTACCACTTTTACGTTTCATGAGGCTGATGTACAACCATATATGAAAGGATCATTGTTCAACTATTTTTGCACAACAATGTTGCAGGCAACGGGGCCTCTAAAGGTAAACCCCAGGTAGAACGTGATGTTTTCATTACCATGAGGCACTGAAGGTACATGAAGAGGCACCATACTGAACTTCTTTTTCTGAGGGCCCTCAAGGTACACCACTCCATCTTCAGTCCATCCAGAAACACATTTTAGCATCTTGGCAATCTCAGGCTTTTTCCATGCCTCACCTCTAAACCACTTCATGCGTTTCTCAGAGACTGAGATCCCCTTTGTGACGCTTTCAAACTTTTTCTTGTGGACAAATTTATCCAATCCACTCCCACTGCCCAGAAAAAAATGTGTGTAAATCCTTCTTTTCCTCTGAGGCATGTCCTTCTTCTTGATCCAGTAGTTTTTTTCCATGTGCTCAACAGCCATTTGCACAATCTCATATTTGGTTTCTTTCTCACGCTGTGTGTCATGATCTTCTGGCCAGAACAGCAAGGTAAGCAAGAACAGGGCACTTGGTAGACATTTCCTTTTATCAGATGGGAACTGACGACAAAGTGCCTGTAGTTCTTTCAGAGGAGCTACCTTTTGAGTCTCTGGTGACAGGCAGTTCAGAGAAATGTGGGCCACTATGTAATTGACAATATCCCTTTGGCCAAATTTGGCCTTTAGTGGATTGCTGGGGTACAGAGAAAGGATGCTCTGTAGAAGACATACTGCATTCCTATGGTCAGTTAGCTTGGAGAGGATGGATGTAATGTTCCCCCCACCAAGATGATAAATGATCATGCGTTTTTGGAAAGGAGTTAGATTGGCTGGGATTGGTTGCCCATGTTTTAGGAGTGCAGCAGAACAAGATTCACTGAAGTATTTGCCATACTCCGAAGATCTTTTTGCCAACCATGTCAGTGGATGGCTTCTCTTCTCTCCAGGATTTTCAGGGGTCTCTTCTTCATCTGTACTGATGTCTGTCTGGAAGTAACTGAGGTCTTCTGAAATCCATTCCAAGGCATCTTGCATCGTCTTGTTAAGGTTTTTCAAACGGCCATGAAATGGTTCCCAAGCATCTTCAACTTCCTTTGGAATGTAATCTGTTAAGAGGTACCTCATACACTCCGAATGACCATTGGCTCTGTTTGCAAACACGTCCAATGAAGAGATCAGTTTGAGCAGGCTGCATCCAACTTCAACCTCAGCAAAATACCCTGAACTGTTCACATTTTCCATATCTGCGTCAGCTGCTTTCTCACATTCTTGAAAACACTCAATGGCTTTCAGTGCAGTCTCCACAGCATTTGCTGTGTTCTGGGCTGTCTTTGGTACATTATCATTGTCAATAGCTTTGCATTTAGCTTGGAACCATTTTCTGTACACCTGCCCTTTAGTGTCGAGTATGTATGAGTTGTTGGGCAGCTGTTTGGCTGCAGTCTCTGCCCAGTATTTTGACTCTTCAAACTTTTCATAAGTATAATGAAGACGAGCAAGTTGTTGTGCGAAGAATGGATCTTGATGGAAATGCTGGAATGCTTCCTTGAGCAACTCAATTGCTTTGTCTGGGCGTTTCTCATTTTCACACACATGCTCAATCAGAGGAGAGAAAAAACTATCATATTCGTCTCCTTTGCTTATTCTGGATCGCCTTATGAAAAGTGCTCTCAAAAATGACAGATATTCGTCCCTCCCAAATCTGTGCTCAAAAAGCACATTCTCGCAGAGCAAATCCATTGCCAAATTGCTTTGGGTCTGTTGGTTCCCCAAAAGTTGTTGGAGAATTTCTTTTGCAACTAGTGGGTGGATGATTCGGATTGATTCGATGTGCGTCTTATCATCTCTAAGGTGCAAAAAGACTAGTTTAGCCTGATCACTGAGTGATTTCTCAAATGCATGCTGGCGAAACCTTTCCAAGTGAAAGGTTAAGGCAAGAAAAGCTTCACAATGGGACTGAGAGATGAAAGAGTTTTGAACATAAGTGTTCAGCAGCGCTACATAGAGAATGAGGCGAGTCACAACAGAGTCATGGTCAATGCCTTGGAGCAAATTTTTGACAAACTTTCGAACATAATCCTCAGTGAATCCTTCACTCATCAAAACAAATGTCAGGATGAAGTTAGGCTCGTACTGTCCCTCAAGTACTTCTCGTTTTCCAGCAAACTTTTTCTTCTCTTGAGCAGACAATTTGTGAGTGACAGACACATTCTGTAATGAAGACTCCTTGCATTTACTCTCTGGATCATGGGATCGTCTGCAGGACAACAAAATGAAACAGAGAGTTCCATTCTGGATTCTTTTTGTGTTAATGCCAACCTCTAGTTCATTCCTGAGATCATCTAGATATTCTCTGTCTGAGTCTTCAATGAGGAGCAGCACAGGAAGACACCTCTGTGGATCTTTTTCTTCATATTCTCTTAGTTCAACTGCATGTTGCGCAACAAGAGGAGCTGAGTATGAAGGCTTCACAACTGCACACCTTAAATCTTTCCTGTTGTTCCACAGCACCTGTCTTGCCACAGTGCTTCCACCACTTCCTGGATGATGGTAGATGTTTATGCTATTCACTGGAGTCTGATCTGCATTCCATTTCAAAGTCTCTTTGAGAAGTCTGGAAACATCGCCATAGGCATCTCTTTCAATTACTTCTCCAACATACTTGTTCTGAGCAAGCCAGAAATTCAACCAGTTCACTCTCCCACCACGGTAGAACTGCTGTTCAATGTTTGCTTTCTCCTCATTGATGAAGTCTTCGCTTGTTTCATCACAGTGGTCGACAGTCAGAATCTCCAGAGAATACATCTGTTCCTCTACTTGTGTTTCAAGAAGACATGTCCCTTTCACAAAGACAGGCAAGTGTTTTCTGACTAATGCTTTTATAGGTTGTATTTGCTGCAGAGTTGCATTAATGTGACTCATTTTCATCCCAACAACACTGGAATTGTTAAGAGCTTCTGTTCCACATGACACCTCTGCAAAGCTTTGCCACTTCTGGAAGTTTTTCTGTGATTCACAGATGCAGATGATGTCTTCATGGCCTTCCATGTCTCTGAAAAACTCATTAAAGGTGAGCAAGAGATGTTTCTCAACTGGTGATGTGAGAAGATAAATGACCTGGAAAGTCCCCTTTGGCAAGATTTTTTTACAGATCAAAGACACAGCTTCACTAAAGAAGGTCATTTTTGTCTTGATCCAAGTCATTTCATCACACAGAGTTTCATTTCCTTTGAAGTCAGTACGGCCATTACAGAAGATCCAGCTAGTTTGCTCGAACAGATGCAGCTGGCTTGTGAATTCTTTGATGGTCATGTCACCAGATATCCTATAGCTCTGCAGAGAATGCATATTCGCTGCATGATGCTGAAGGTACCTGCTGCAAAGACCTGATATCTTTGAGTCTGGGTCAAAGTCAAAAACACAGAACACGTTCATGTTAAGCAGCCAGTCAATGGAACAAAGGTCATCAGGACTGAATTTGTTTGTGACAAGTATGAACCATTTCTCCTTTTCAATGAATTTCTTCCCACTTGTCATTAGCATTGTGAGTTTTCTTCCAAGGTCTTGGCAGAAGTCTGGGGCACTGAGGTACTGACTTTTCTCTGCTTCTTCTCTTTGAGCATCCCGATCTTTGACTCGCTGGTAAAAGTCACCTAGGGCTTTGTCGCTCACCGGCTCCGTTTTTGAACCCACCCTTCGCAGAATCGTTTCTTTCTCAAATTCTACTTTGTTAGTTGACTCTTTGAAGTTTGGCAGACGTACTGCATACACTTTGTTGTTTACAATATTTACTGAAGGCACAATGTCAACCTCTACCACATACCTCTTTTCTGTACTTTCTCGACCTATGACCTCAATGAACCTTGGAGGCCGCACACACTGGCGTACATGCTCATGGTTAGAGGAGATACTCCTTTCAATGTAGTCTAAAGCATCTACATAAATGTCTTTCTCTTGTACAGGGATACCAATGATCTCACCATGTACGTGTCCTGCATCCTCCTTGCTGTCCATCACACCAAAGTGTATTGTGCCATTTGTTCTAATATTCATACAGCCTATTGCAAATTTAAGGACCTCTTTGGCAAACTTAGCTTGGAGTCTTGTGCGATCCAATGCAGCAGCTACCGAAAAAGACTTAAATTCATGGCATGGAGTTGTCAGGTTAAAGGCACCTGATTCAGGTTGCAGGACTGTGTGCTTTACATATATAAAATCAATCCCTTCTTGATCAAATGGTCGTGGTCTGCAGTCTTCCTTCGAAGTCGACACAGGAAGCTCCTGAGCAGTTTCTTTCTCCTCTCCATCTTGATCTCTCTCAGACGTCTGTGCCGGAGGACCTTCACTTGTAGGACACTGAACTGATTTCTGATTAATGTTTTTCTGCTCCAATTCAGTTGTTTTGCCACTGGTGGGCCTTTTCTTCTCTTGAGACTTTTGCTTGGAGTTGGTGAGCTCATTTCTCTTTTGAATAATCAAATGAGCAGGCCCTGGTTTCATACAAATTTTTGCTGTCAAAAAGTCCTCATTCAATGTAAGAAGGATATGTCCATCTACTTCTGCATCATAAAGTTTTTCTATGTACGGCTCCTTCACTCCAATAGATCTTAGCCAGGAGCTTACTTGAGATTCAGTCCAATTCTTGGGTGACTGCTCAAGTTCTTCAGCTGTACAGTGAGAAAAGACAGAAAAAGCAATGCATTTGATTATAGATAACAGAATCAGAGGAGGACTATAGTTATATTACACACCTCAGACATATTTGGGATTTGCAAATTTAGAGATGTTTGATAGTAGCACATACTTTAAACAGTATTCACAATCAATTCGGTTTCCATTTTGATTAGATTCACTATCGATACGATTAGTCACATTTCAGTTACAATACCAATTTTGCTTAGATTAGACTAATGCTGTGAATTGTACAGAGAATCCTTGCTTGATTAAAAATATTAATGTTTAGGAATTGACCCTGTACTGTTTACTGGCAACAGTCACAGGTCAGATGATTTGGGCTCCATTGTAATTAGCAATCCGTCATGACTATGCCTTCATAGTTCCTTTGTATCCCCTCCAACAGGGCAGATATTTCCAGTCACAGATGCCATATTTTCTGACACTGATTTTCTCTCTTTAGTATGTATCAGCCTCTATGCCTTTCGATCTCTGGAGCCCAAATCACTGCACTTCGCGGCCTGGAAAAAGCTACACACATTGGTGGCTTTGTTCATTTGGCCTGCTACAAGTAAATAAAGGGTACAATATGGCCATATGGCAATAATATCCAAATTGCAGAAGCTGTCATTTTTGTAATAATTAAGTACTGTAGTCCTGAAGAGATGCAATAGCCTGCATATGTTCCAGATCATCAAAACTTAAAATGTTTTTTCAGTGAAAATTAAACTTTGATCTATTCTACTCTATTTTTGAATCATATCACAAAATCTGTAAAAATAATCGCAAAATGATTAGATGGAAAATCTAATTATTAAACCCAACCCCGGATCTCAATACTTTCCACCTTCCCGTTGATGCTTGTGGCACTTGGATGCAAACCTATTATTTCCTAATGAAATCTTTAAAAAAAAAGTAATTAAATAGTAAATATTTTTTTGTCTCATTAGGGGAGCAGAACACATTGACATATTATGACCCTTTAAAATTGATACTGTAACTGTTTTAACAAATGTAGAGTTGTGTTTCTGGCACACTCTGCCTGCTGTGACTGGAAATAAGGTTAATGAGAATGTACAGTGAAACTGAACCACACCGTGTGGCCAGTTTGGCATTGCTGTGTTTTGAACTGGCTGTTGTGCCTCTAAAATAAAAATTGCACATTTCCTCATTTCAAAGCAGCAAACAATACAAAGTCACGTTAGTGTCTTTCTCTCACAAATATATTTGGAACCAGAGATGTTGTGTGTTGGTATGCTCAGGTTGCTGTATAATAGTTGTGTGTTTTCTGCGACAGAAAATAAATAAAAAGTTGCTGTTTAACGCTAGCTAATTAGTTAGAGCTAGGAATCAGGCTACAGACACTTAAAATAGCCTAAAAGAGATCTCACAAAAATGTTTGAGAGCTGGAAGACACAGGTCCAACACAATCAATCTGACTGCATTTTCTCTTTTTGAGTTTTTAATTTTTTGGCCAAAAAAAATCACAAGAAAGAAAATACTGCCTTCTAAATCTAATTAAAGGTAAAAAGTATTACAGCAAAATCTTCTTAAAGAAGTTATTGTGCAAATGGTCCCTGTCAATGTTTTACTATTATATATGATGTTGTTGGATTAATTACTGCTGCTTTTTACTGCTGTAATAAGGTTGGCCAATGTGGCCTCGCCCTAAAAAAAAATCCATGCCTGTAATCATTTTATTTATTATATTAAAACTTTTTATTTATATACCAAGTTGGTACAACTTTAAAAAGCCATTTAAACTGTCATTTGAGAAAAAGTCATTTATGTGTATATATTATTAATATATAATAGCAACAGGATATTGTAAGTTGATTATTGTTTCTTGCTATACTGTGCCTAGTGTTTCACCATATTATTACGCATATCACATCTCATACGGAGGACCAAATTGAAATTCATAATAGTGTTTGTATAGCCAAAAATATGGTGCACAGTGGAATATTTTAAGCACTTTAGAAACAGAAGAAAACGCATGAGCATACATTACTGGAAAAAACTCGTCACTCACCCATGATTTTCTTTCTCCTTCATTATCGACTTTGTTGTTTACTTGTTTTCATCTTCCATCTGCAAACGGAAACATTATACAGTTACATTCAGGCCATTGCCATCTATATAATACCTACCCCACCCACAGCCTGTTCACCCTGCACTGTACTGCGGTCTACACACTACAGCCTGCAGAACAGATTCTTTACTCAGACTTTAAAACTCCTCCACTCCTTTGTAGCTTTGTAAGTGTAATACAAAAACCCTCACAAGCACAACAAATAAAAGAGCGACCATTTGTTCTTACCTTGGAGAAATACAGAGAGAAACCCGGGTTTTCAACGTTTTCTGTTCTTGATTTAGTCTTTGAAACAGTGAAACGAGGGGCTTCTGTTCCTTCACTCGACCGCCGTTTTCTATCGCCTGGACTGCCTACTGCCCGATGCACCCACTGCGCATGCTCAGTTGTTCAAGTTTCGTTTCTAAGTAAATGTAGGTTTTTGTTTTTTTAAAGATAAGGCTTTATTGTTGCAAAACCGGGAAGAAGTAACAAGAGGAACCTATTTTAAAGTGACTACAAGCTAGTTCTGTTCTGTTCTGTTAATGGTAATTAAAGTATTTACTTGATAACAGAACCACTTTGCTCACAGAAGTTAGAAGTAAGGTTATGAATTGACCTCTCTTCAGAGATACATCCAATTTGAAGTCTAACACAATAAAATGAAAAAGGTTTAGTTAATGCATATAAAAGTTACTGTAAATTGCAGCAAAACCACTGACAGCATTTCAATTTAGAATTAATGAATTTACACAGAAAGCCAAAAGACACAGGACTAGTGAGTCTGACAGCTGAATATTGAACAATATGTAGTTAAACCAGGGATTTACCATTTCGGTTGAAAACTGAGTTAATGTGGTTCAGAAGTAAACAGGCAGGGACCACCTGAGCAGTAAATTAACATTTATGAACCACGTTATGAAACTATGTGAGCCTCGCCCCAGCATTAACAATGACTGTTAGATGATAATCTAATCGTTGACCAGCAGGTCAAGTCACTGGGCGTTGAGTTTTAATGATACATCAGGAACATTTTTTTATAAACCTATTCTAGACAACACATGAAAAGGAAATGTGGTGAATCCTTACCGACAACTTCCACTGGGTCCAGTTTGCAGTCCTTTAGCAAAGGTCTGTTAACAATGCACGGATTAAACCAATATTGATATTCTCCTATGCAGCATATTTTCCACAGTGTTTTACATCCCGATATGCAAGTCTGGGTTTAGATATATTAAATGTGTGTCAGAGTGTGACTTGGTGAGAGTGCAATGATTCACAAACTGGCTCTGTGTTACTGTGCTGGTCCTTTTAGGCAGTGCCTGCTTTATTTACCTGTATTAAAAAAAGTCCAGTGTGTAGGATTTAGTGGCATCTAGCGTCGAGGTAGCAGACTGCAACCAACTAAATAGGCACTAAATATCCATATTTTCCCAATTGAGATGCAGCAATCAATAAACACACAGATTTTTAGTATAAAAAAAAATAGAATTTAATGTGCAAGTCATTAACTCACGTTTGACACCCTTAAAAAGTTATTTTACATGAGAGTTCTGCAGCCTGACCTCTAATCTCATTTTTGACTGCATAATCACATAGAATAAAATTACCTACTGTATTCAGACGCCACCCTGAACACCCTTTGGAACAGTCCACTCTTATCGTGTCAGCACAATTGATTGACAAAAGAGAAGCAGTCTAGCAGCATTAACTGTAATCAAGCACATTTAGCATAGTTAATTTTATAGATCTGTACCCATACAGCACAGTGATATTTAAAAAAAAAAAGGCACATCGGCCACATTAAATGATTTATCATCAATGATCCAAATTCTGAATCAGTCTATACAAAAATATACATACAGTATCTGTGCAGTGAACAGGCTCACTCAGAAATACAACATTGCACAATAAAACTACCCAAGTGTTCAACAACATCCAGACATGTTTCCCACAATAGAGGCCAAATATTTTTGGGACAAACACATTTTCTTTTGGACATGCCACTATAAAGTAAAAAAAGAAAGATTCTCTTTGCTCAGTCCTGCTACAAGATAATGTTCAACAACACCCTGTTGGTTGTCCGAGTTCCTTGAGGCAGAGACAGACTTGTGGACGGTTCTGTTGGGGAACATGTTAACCCAGGTGAGCAGAAGGCACTTAACTAAGGGTGCAACCGCTGCGCCCGGCAGTGGATCCCAGGCACTGCAGGCCTGGTCCTCACCAGCTCACGGTGCAGCAATTGAGTCCCACTTTGTGTCCACTCTCGAAGGCGTTGCTCCCGTCTGTGCTGGGTCCACCTGACTCTGGTCCAGTTCACACTGGTTCACTGTTCAGTGTAGGAGAATCTGGCAGAGTGTGTACCTCAGATGGACTGGATTCTCTTTGTCTGAGAGGATCTGTAGGTGATTCTGAGGCAAATGTGGGGTTCACTGCTTCAATGTGTAAGTCAGTCTGTGTGGACAGTGCTGGCGCTTCCGGCTGCACTGTCTGAACTGGCAAATGTGAGGATACAGGCTCATCTGGTGATGTACAGGGCACTGACTCTGCAGGGGTTGTGTGAGAGACCTGCACAGGCTGTGAAGAATGTGTAGGTTCCTGGGGTTGTAAGGAGGGTGATGATGTGTGTGTTGGCAGGTGTTGAGTGCACAGCTCATTTTGTCTCTGTGGTCCAAAATATGTGTACTGGGCTTGTGTTTTTGCAAGCTGCTCTGCAGCGGAGTAATAAGGCAGGAATGGCCTCTCAGATGCACAGGTCCGCATTGCCAGGTAGGTGTGCATTAGGAGGTGGGGGAAGCGGGAGGTGAAGTAGGAGACAAAGTCATCAGGGATGGAGCCCAGAGTCTCCTGTACTTCAGCAGGCAACTCTCGGTAATGGTGTTTCTGTTGGAGGAAGGTCAAGCGTTAAGTCTAACAGGAAAGACCAGTTTGTTTTAAATACAAAACATTACGGTAAGTTCCTACCTTGTTTCTCATCGCACGCAGCAGGTCTCTGACTGACCCGCCCTTATAGGAGCGAAATTTCCGCAGATCTACCGAAGAAAGAGAAAAATAAAAGTCCATGTTATCAACCACAGAGTGAATCCCTAATCATTATCCAACAAGGAACCAGTAAACAGGAAATCCTGAAATGATGCAGCTCTTTTTTTTTTTTTATTTAGCTTGATACCGAAGTATCCAAAGTTGGACTCATCAGTACAGTTTTGGAAATAGTAGAACAAAACAACATCTGGGGCCAGATGTATACAGTAAGCCATGCATACACCATCTCCCAAATATTAACCAGCATTTATAGAATCAATGTGTCACCTTATACTGACTTTGGACGAGGCGTACACAGTGTATTCAAGAGACAGCTGCAGGTCATATAAGTGGATGACATCACTGATTGTGTTATTTCTGAATTATTTATGAATGATTTATCTATTTATTTATATTTGAGCCTAAAGTGGTCTACGCCGCCTTATAAATCTGCCAAAAAAGAATGTGTATGCATATTTCTGTATGAAGAGTTTTAAGCATCTGGCCCCTGGTGACTTTACTGTTTTATAAATGTTGTAAACTTTTGTTATACCTGTATATTCTATTATTAATATGCCATGCACATAATCTCACATGTATCAGTCTTTCTGCCATCAAAAACTTTGTCTGGTCAATAAAACAAAAGGTTCAAAGAGAACCAGTTGAGGTTGTGCTACTCAGAGTGTGGCAATGCAGACAGGAAGCAGCAGGCTTACTTAACCACCCACTGCATTATTGTGTTGTGACAGGATTCAGCATTGAGTGCAACACACATGAAAGTATTTCTCCAGCTAGCTCTAAAGTGAAATCCTACCCGAGTCAATTTGTGTAATGCTATACTATAACAGGCGACACCAGGAGCTTGTATTTGACATGCCAGTCTTATACCTGTCTGCAGTGGCACTGTGATGTGCTCTCTCCAGTCACCCTTGACAACAGCCCTCCCTCCTCTCTCCAGCTGCCTCACGATTGGTCCGTCCAGCGGCTCCTTTTCTATTCTGTCGCTCACATCCTGCAAGCAAACACAAAAAACGTCAGTAAATTTCCACTAATATGCCAGGCAGTGTTATTCTCATTCAGAACATAACACACTTAATTTAGAAGTGAATGGGTCCCATTTGCACCAATGAGGGTGCAAGCACAATCCCCTGAGTGTTTGGATATGAACGATAAATCTATTATACAGTACATCTTAGTTCTGTAGGTTCCTATGTGGCTGTAAAGACGTAAACTGATGGTGGTTTTCAAACATCCTACAAGCATTTGGAGGTAACATTGCCATGCATCAGCTCTTCTCACTGCCTAAGGTGTGGTTTGAGTAAGCAGAGGTTTAAACCACATCGGAGGAAGCCAGAATGTGCGATCTTTACAATGAGCAGTTAAATTGTCAAATAAGCAAAAAAAACAAAAGTTGACCTGAAAGAACTGCAGCTCCTTCTCCAGGCTCCAGAAGAAAGGGTGTTTGAGTACACTCTCAGCTGAAGGCCTCCTGTGGGGCTCCATGCTCAACATCTGCTCTATTAGATCTCTGGCTACAATGTCCCCTGAAAAATGACACAAACATGCTGGTTTTGACTATGTGTTTTTTCACTTAACAAAACTAAATTATTTCTAGAAATTCATACATTTTTGTCATCAAATAACAATCTCCACAGCTGTACTAAACTCTTCTTACAACCAATCACACAATAATCCACACCACCCTCTACCTGCCCGTACTGATCTAGATAACTACCTTATTGTTGTTGTACACTATAGGAAACAGAAGCAAAAGTTTAGTCCTCACCATGTTTGTCTGTTTGCAGATGGTCGAGGCTGTATGTGCCCAGTAGGATGTTTGCTTGCCTCTGCAGAGACTTGCCAAAGGGGTGACTTCCCTGAGATACCACGTAGTAGAACACACAACCAGCAGAGAAGATATCAACAACGCAGGTCTGCAAGGGACAAGAGAAGAATAAAGGATGGAGGAAGTCAGTGTGGTATATAATAAAAACACATTCACCACCAACAAAATCTGTGTACAGTGGGGGTGTAATGGTATGTATATTCATCGCAAACAGTTTGGTATGTCTCTAATTTAGAGAGAGGTGGAGGATTGGGTTAGGTTGGGTCCTTGTGTGCATTCTGTGTCTGTTCTGCCTGCCTTTAATAAACAAGCACAAACTGCACTTATTCAGGAATTATGAACAGGTCAGAGTCTTATGATGGTGCATTTCTGACATTATTTATTTTTGTTGTTAATTTTTTCCTATTGACAATATGCCAGTATGTACATCAACTGTGAAAATGATGGCCACTAAGCCACAGTTGAATGTTTATATTTTTCTGGAACAAACCCACTCTCAGGAGTTCATTAGATGCCGTTATGTTTCAGTGAACAGCACCAACATGTTCTTTTATTGGCCCATCATTTTGTGTTTCTGTTGTCAATTCTGACACCCAACATAATTTAAGCCACCTAGGAGAGCTGCTATGCTACCACTGACTCACCGGGTTGTCTTTGCAGTCCTCACTGAGAACCTCGGGGGCGATCCACCCCTCAGTGCCCGGCACCCCAGACCTTCTACTGAAACTGTGGCGGCCCACTGCCAGCTTCTTACATAAACCAAAGTCTGAGATCATGGCCCGGACCCGACCGTGGGCGTTGGGCATGGACACAAGGATGTTGTGGGGTTTCAGGTCTCTGTGAACTGAAGGAAAAAAACAGAACCACAAGCTGTCAGTTACTTCAGTGGTGTGGATATTGTCTAGCAATACAAAGCAGACAATAATAATAAAAACAAGAAAGTTATTTTGTATTCAGTGATGGATACCTATGTTTAGAGAGTGCAGGTGGGCCAGTCCTGACATGGTCTGCTGAAGAAGCATAACTGGCTCTAGTCCATGACGGTCAAAATCCTTCCTCTCCACATACTAGAAAAGACGAAAGACCACAATTAGTCAAGTCCAATAGTTATAACAGGATGTCTCATTTTCACATAGTTTGAAGATGTGCATCTCAATGATAAAGAATGCCAGCTATTTTCTACACTCACAGTACAACTGCATGCTAATGACACAAAAAATGTAATGCATCGTGAAGGAAACACCAATTAAAACTGGGCTGCTATCACCAAAATACTACACAATTAACTCAACTTTTCCCAGACTTGGAAAAGGTGCTTAAGTGATCATTCATTACCTCCTGAAGTGAGGCAGCACACAGCTCAATGGCGATGTACTGGAACTGACGGTCCCTCTCCGTGCAGAAGTAGCGGATGACGTTTGGGTGCTCGTCGGACTCCCTCAGCAGCTGGACTTCCCGGTCTGCAAAGCTGAAGCACTCTGGGAGAATTCTCTTCACTGCCACTGGACGGTTGTCAAACTGACCCCTTGTGGAGAAACAATGGAAGTACAACATTGTAATATTTCTTCAGTATTTTACAAATTAAATTATGAGTAATTGTTGACTGGTTCAGACTTACTTGTACACAATGGTGCCCTCAGCACCGTGACCCAGGACCTCTTTGGGACGGAAAGTTATGTTGCCCACTCTGACAATATTGGAGTCTTCCTCTGATAAGACAAACAGGCACTGGGTTAAAAATGTTACTCAAATGTTAAACAAGCACCAACAAAGAGTGTTTGCAATGTAATCTTAATCTCTCAGTCCTTGCCTCCATCTTCATGCTCATTGGCAGAGCTTCCCAGCTCAGACACAGACAGGTTGGAGTGGTTGGAGGCGCGAGGGGTGACGTTGGGGCTGCTGTGGTCTGAGCATTCGGAGCGAGTGCGGGCCACCTCAAGATAGTCGCTCTCTGGGACCAAGCCCAGGCCCACATCTGCAGGGGGGAACGGCTGCTGTCTCTGGAGCAGCTCCAACCTCTCCTCCATCTGCCTCTGGAACTCCTGGTGCTGCAGCTGCTGCTGCTTGTGAACACTCTGTGGTGAGAGAGGAGACTATGTGTGAGGCTTTGAGAATATTAAAACTCTTAATGAAGTTGTCAGTATGTTGTTTGATCCATCCAACACTTTAATATTGCATATTGTAATATGAATATTGTATTCAGCACTTGACGCTTACAGTCTTGTTTCTACAAGATTTTCTGTAACCACTAAGTGTTTGCAGGCACCCAACAGTCCACTAGGTGGTGCCGTTTGACTTACTTTGGGGTAGGTAATCACAAACGCCACCCAGCCAGCCAGGAGGAAAGTGGAGAAGATGATGGTGGCCATGTCTTTGAGCATAGTGTCCACAGGGGCCTCTGGACGTACAGTGCGACCACTGGTCCCAGGTTCTTGGATAGATGTTTCAGGCAGAGGAGAAGGGGGGCCATCATCCATGCCACTGTCATTCACCTTCTGCAATATGGTGGGAGGAAGAGAGTAAGAAAATCTGCTGTTTTGATGTTGATGTTTTAATGTTTTGATAGCTGAAAATTCTTCTAAACAAAAATATCTTGTGAATCACACACACACCTCCTCAACTTTCTTGTCAGTAGTAGGTGGGATGACGTTGCCTTGATTGCGAGGGAAGCTGTCAGGGAACTTCTCCAGGATCTTGGTGTGAGCTTCGGGGGGCGTCTCATGATGACCTGAAATGCAGAAATGAGTGAACATGTTAATCATCATCATTATCATCAGAATCAGAGCTATAAAATGACACCACTGAATTCAGTCGTGATACTTTTAGTATTTATAGGTTTCTGTTTAAATAGCAAGGAAACGCTTTATAAAAAGGTTTTAAACTTATATTCACATGATTCATTTTATCTTCCAGCAGAGGGCAGTCTCAGGCACAGCGGCCCATTCAAGGCACTGGACTTGTGGTAAAAAGTATCAAGAGTTTCTTAGTGCATAAATTGTTAGTGAAAACGAGACTTCCTTTTTATGAAGTGGACCTGAAACTCTCCCTCACCGAACCAGGAAATTAATCAGAGTATCTCACTCGAGATATTAAGTTGTGATTAATGTACCTATAAGCAGCAGGTAGTTCCTCATGAAGTTCATACGGTTTCTTTCCCGGAGCGCAGCATTGAACTTGACACTGGTGCTGGGTGTGATAACACACTCCTTGTCCTCCTCAGTCTCCTGGCTGTCAGGACCCTCCAGCATGGGGAATGTGCTGCCACGAGGCTGTGCACACACGCACACGCGCACACACACACACGCGCACACACACACACACACACACAATACACACATACACACATACAGGAAATTCAGATGAATTCAGATGAATTTCCTGCCTCACAAGATTACAAAAAGAAAAAAACTTAAAAACGGCCCAGAAAGGCAAAGTGACTTGAGCTGGGGCAAGCCAAAACACAACTAGAACAGGATGTATTCTTGCAAACTCACTTGCATACCTGGAAACCACTAACCAAAAATGTAGGCTGATTAACAAACAATAAAACAAGTAGAGTACTGCAGGGAATGTTCGATTACCTTTGCACACATTTTAACGGCAAACCTACATGTTTTATGTTGGTATCTTACTGACAAGGAATTCATTTTTGCATAAATGAAGATATACATGTAACTGTCACTCACCACCACAGTGACTCCATCGTGCACCAGCGAGGGAGAGGCATACAGACTGGTGGAGTATTTACCCACATACAAAGTGGCCCTGAAAAGGGAAAAAAAAGCACAGTAAACCCATTGCCTGCTTTTTTTTTAAAAAAGTACACTGTAATTTCATACTAAACTTAAGTATGACAGATTGCAATCTCGACAATCTCTGACAGATCTGGAGTGTATGTAATTTACCAATTCAAAATGTAGAACTATTAGAGTTCCCTACCATCTCTGTAAATAGGCAAAACTTTCACAGAGGTTCAACCACTGAAAGCCGTTAGTCCTTACCAGCAGAAGCAGGTGTAAACCCATATATATAAAAGTTAAAAAACAGTACTGCAGTGTGAAACCAGAGCTGAAACCAGGTCCGTCAGCACCCACTTCTTAGTTACTACGTGTTGAGACTCCATCCCATCATTAAGCAATCTCACATCTTACAAAACAATACCTTGATTTCAGGCTTTCAGTCATTTATGCGCCTGTTATTAATGGGTAGAATGTTCCAACACGTTTAGAAAAGTGTTGGCCAATGTGTTTCTCCCGAATGGTATTCTAGTTATAGTAGAAACAATCATGAATATAAAAGCCTATAAAAGTGGACACTGACAAAAAAGTAGGGGACTCATTCCACTCAGTCTGCTTACATGAACTTGTTTTTAGGTTTCTTCTCTTTAGGAAATGGGTATTTCCACTGGGTGATGCGGCCAACCTCTCCAGACATGAAGGTGAGATAGCGCAGGGTTTCCACGGCCACATTAGTGTGGGCAACTTTGCGGAGGCCCTCTCGCTGCCAGATATACATGGCCACCACCGGCGAGTTATAGTTCTGCACCCACTGAACGTCTCCTGATTCGCTGTCTACAGTCACCACGAGGCCGTCGCCGTTGGACACAAAGTGAGCCATCTCTGTCGGGGTACCAAAGAGCAAACAAGTGATTGGCATCATCGGACAGAAACAACAAAACAGAAGAGCCAGCGTGTCTAACGGTCTTACTGTATTTGGTGTCGTCGTCGGGAAGGGTGGAGGCGTAGTCAGAATAGGTGGCATTCCAACGCAGCTCTCTGCTCTTGGTGTCATACATGGTGATGGTATACTCTAACAGGGATAAGAACAACAATGGCATATTCACAACATATCTAACATACACAAAAGCCAGGCGTGGAGAAATCCAGCATATATGCTGTGGGGTGACAAATTGAGCGCTGACTTGACACCAAGTTAAGGATTTATAGTGTTCAACTGCAGGGCTTTCATGCTCCAGGTCTACAATAATTGTTCCACTTCCAGCCTAAAGCACAGTGGGAGCTGGTCTTGTTGAGGCAAAGGTGGGGACAGCAGTAGAGATGAGCAGTAGGTAAATAAGGGTTTGCCAACACTTGGGGATGAGAGCATGCAAGACAAATAGGTGTGTTAATTAGCCAGATTAAAATCAACAAATCGAATGGGATGGGCTGCAGTGATAATCTGACCAAGATAAGGCTGGCCAGGTTGGGAAAAAAAAATAGCTGAGCTTGTGTTTCTGGATTGGTCTTGATTTTACCTGTGCGTCCCAGATAGAGAAGGGATGAGGACGGACACAGCATCTCAGCAAAGGAGGACGTCAGGGTCTGCTGTTTCTCACCAGTCAACAGGTCCACCACATACCACAGGTCCTGCTTCTTACCTGTACAAGAGCCAATATGAAAGCAAAATGATTTACCTTTGGCATGATAACAGCCTTTATGATGCTGCTGAAAAAGCACATCATATTTTTCACTATGCATGTTCTGTATTTACTTAATCCTGCTATTCAACTCTATACATGTGTGTATAAATTGGCTTTTTGTGGTGGTTTTCCCTTAACAGAACTGAGGGTCTAATGATTAATAAGACAAATTTGTGATTGTGGTCTGTCTAAAATAAAACTGACTGGAGAATTTACAGGAAATTATCAAACCGACCAAAAAGGTGCACTGGTGCCAAGCCCAGTAAAGCAAAACAACATGCAGCCATTGATTCCTGACAGCAATGGGTGTTGCCATTCTTTAATTAAACGGCAAACCCATCATGGCTTTCTCTTTGTAAGGGCATCTTGTACCTTGTCAGTGCAGGGAGTGGCAGTAATATCCTAATCATAGATTATTATAAATGAATGCAAAAAACAACCAGGGAGTGTTTGCTTCGTTTAAAAAACATCCAGATGATGAAGGAGGAGGGTTTAGCCTGATAATTCCTTCAAACGTGGGATATAACGATTCACGATACTGGAGTCACAATATGATTTTCTCAAATCTTTTTTAACAATGAGATGAAGATTATTTTACAGACAAAAAAATCTCGTCTTTATCAAATTATATAATATTTTTAGTTTTTGTTTTTAATATTGAGGTAGGGTATAAACTGTGCAAAACATGCATATATATATAGACTGCAAACTATACTTGGCAAAAAAGATTCATACATGAACAGATTTACAGAGCGAGAATTTGAGTCTGTAGCACTTTCAGACCTTTGAATCTCAAATATGCTTTGTGCCAGCAGCAGCTTCAGTTGAATGAAAACAAAAGCTTAGCTGATAATGACTGCAGGGATGCAAATGTCAGCCGCTTCCCTTTAAACAAAGACAAGCAGTCACTATGGTAGATTACCTTTCCCCTGTTAACTGTTGTAAATTCAAATGCGCAAAGGCTGGGACAGCAGGTTGAGTGGAATCGAAAGGTAGAATAAGATATTCGGTTAAAGCCAGATAAAACCAGCTCATTTATGGATAAGGAAACTACGTAACAATGTGTTTAATCAAAAAGGTGTAATATAATATTACCCATGTAAAGCACTCCATCAGAGCTGCGACAGGGAGAAGCTTGGACCAACTCAGGGATAGTGAACGGTAATTTCTGTTTGAGAAAAATGAATGAATGAACATTAGATAACCACAACATGCTGTGTGCTTTGACAGTATACGGGGAGCAAGTCGCATACACCACCACAGCTGCAACTTCAGTGTGACAGTGCATGATTTCAGCATGCCTTATATATATATATATATACACATACACACACACACACACACACACACACACACACACACACACACACACACACACACACACACACACACACACACACACACACACACACACACACACACACACACACACACACACACACACACACACACACACATATGGTGAGAGGATACGTTTTTCTATAGAACAGGGAACTGAGCAGTGTTTCTTAAAATAAAAAAAAAAAAGTGGGTAGATTATAGTTTGTGATTAAATTATTTCCTCTTACTGTGAGGCCTTCGTTGTTCTTTCCTCCCAGAGAGTACAGGCTGCCATCATTGGGGTCAGGCAGAAAGGCTGGTCTAGAGGAAATATTTAAGAAGATGCATTACAATCTCTAGACCAGTAAAGGGAGTGACAGATAAGACAAGCTCAACAGGTTACCATATCCATTTGCATTCACCATCTTTTGTTAAAGACAGGTGCAGTGCACAAGGATATATACACCCATGCAGGAAAACAACTCAAAGGTACGTACTCTGCCACATGTGTGGGGACCTGAAGAACTGGATCTGCGAGGAGGGAAAAAGAGACAAGACGCAATTCAGGACTGACGAGAATATTAACCAACATTGGAAAGCATGGCCAGCAGCTGTTGAGTAAGAGAATGACATGAATATTGGTGACATTCAACTGAACACAGAACACAAAGTCCAAATGAAAACGAATTCCCTTGGGGCAAACATGCAAGGCAAACAGCCATGCCTGCAAACAGCTTTGTCAAGACTAGCATATAATAACAAAAAAAAAAAGATTCTTTAAATGACCTCATATCTTCTAAAAAGTACTATGACACCAAATATCCATCGGACACAGTGGTCAAGGTTGGTACAGGAAGCAGATTTTACTGTTGTTCAGATACAATGAAAAAAAGTTTGTTCTGTATTTAAATGTTGGAAATAAATATGTAAGAATGACATGGCAAAACGTATCTGGCCATGTTACGAATTTCCATCCATTAAATGGCCCCTCAAGGACATTTGCTTAAAAGGACCATCTTCTGTTTTTGCATATTAAAGCGCATTTACAACAAGTTTCATACATCTTTCATTACTGCCCACCATTTTGCTGCCTACAATAATTTGCCCTCCCCTCTGAGCAGCTATTAGCGTTCATTCAGAGGAGAATGAAAATGATAATTTGATTGAAAATTAACTTAAATAACGTGATCCACTGAAGTTCTTGTCTACTTTTTATTTTATCAAAGTTAGATTACTGTTGTGTTTAGGCTAGGCATCTTTCAAATTAGTCCATGTTTAAAGTCACTGCAAGTTGATTTTGATACCATATAACATGCCTGGCAACAAATGGCTGCCTGGAAAGAGAGAAATTGCATTCATCCACATATAAAAACCTAAAAAAACAAACAAACTGATCAGCAATAATGTAGAAGGTTAAACCACTACAATAGCTCTTTAAGATAAGTGCCACAGTGTGAAGCCCAAACTTTCATTGCTACTAGACAAACACACACCTGCAGTGTGAACATACAGGGCGTGGACCAGATGGTGTCGATCTCTGTGGAGGTGCCCGAAGGGGTCAACAATAGCAGGGGAGGGGAGGCGTAGGATTACTTGAAGGTGGTCAGTGACTATTGTATTCAAGATGCACCCGCATTCATTATGTGTAATTGCAGAGGGTGGCGAGGAAACAATGGTTGTTTATGTTGCCCACAAAGACGGTAACTCTGGTTGGCTGACGTACAGTACAAATACATGTTCGCAAAGTCAACACAGCGCGACAAGCAAACAGTGAGAGGATATGCATGTGGGCTGAGCTGTACTGTCTTGGTCCAGGGAAAAGATTTATGCTTCCCCCTCATTACGTGGGTGTACAGTTGCCCGACTGGAGCACAACAACAGGTGTGCGGAGCCTGGTACAGAACTGATCAAATTTATATTCAACAGCTCTTCCAGAAAAACAGACGATGCGGAGGAAGCAGCCTCTGCCTCAGATTATTAATGACTTGGGTATTAGTTGGACCTAACCAGGACTCGCAGGTTCAAAACAGTAATTTTACTTAGTCAGAAAAATTTGGTGAGCCTGTGGGAAAATGTATGCTTAGAACAGGAAACATCTTCGATTATCATACTATGCTTCTTTTTCACAGCTTTTACAGGTTTTCCAATAACCCAAGCATATAGTGCCTACATTAACATGGTAACCACAGTACATGCTGCGTATGCAGGTGATACTGCAGCAAAGTTGCTTAGCCTTGCCCACTCTGACCTTGATTACAGGCTATATTTGCCCCTCTCTCAGTTAATAATTACCCAGTTTCCATGCCTAACAACATCTCACAGCGTTTCCCTCAGCTTAATCCCATTTCCTATGAGTCTAATAATACCAAAGAAGAATAAGTATAAAGTATAAATAAATATGTAGTTTTTTGACAAGATTAATTACATGTATCTGCCTTTAAATAATCAGAGTTCAATTAAGAGATTTTAGGTCAATTTAGGTTTAATTTCTATTCCTAGTCTACTATGAGGGGTGGTAATGCATCCAAATCCTTTGTTTTAACATAAGATATAATAGACTTAATAGAATTCACTCGATACAGCAGCTTCAGATACAACACATAAGATAAGAAAAAGAAAATAATTTTAGTTTTTTAATTTTAGTTATGTGGACACCCTTTTGTTTACATTAGGATCACAGAGACTACCTATAAATAAGATCAATAGACCAACTCGTCAAGTGGCAAAGCATTGATGTGGCATCAAAGTTTCACATGTGTTGCCCACATTTGTTAAATTCTTAACTTAAATACAGTCTTATTGTTGTGTTCTACTACACCTTTCATGACACAAATTAACATGTTTTCCCTGTGGCAACACACAAAAGTATCTTATTCAGCATGTAACCTGAGTACGGAACTGTGCCTTGAGTAAAAGGCATACAAAGAAAAACTTGACAAGGAGTTACACTCGACTCTGTTCCTCTCCTCTTACCTTCTTTCAGGGTCCATTTGATAGAGCCTGACTTCTTGCTAACAGCGTGCAGGTTTCCATCCAGTGTGGACACAAAGAGCAGGCTTTCAGGAAGGGAAACTGTGCTAGCACTGCAAAACCCCTACAGAAACACACACACACACAGAAAAATCAAAATCACTACAAACAATCACATCTCTAATAAGCACTAAAATATCACACACGTGTATAGTGCACATGAATCAAAGTGATAGCATAATAAACTCAGACATTAACACGCAGGTATGTGTGAGCATGCATGCTCTCACTTAGGTCCACGGATATGGTCAAAATGTTGTGCTCCTGCATTGAGGCTGTGAATAATAGCTTCAGCTACTAATCACTGACATATTACGTATTCCTCACACACACCTGGTACAAAATTTACTAAGATGTTGACATTACAGCAATCCGGTCATTGTATGTCAAAAAAGAGGGGGCCTGTTTTCATCATCACCCCAGTATAGTTAGCCTTTTGGTGGTACAGTTACTCTCAAGGAGCCACAGTGCCCCCCGGCCTGCTTTACAAATCAGTGAACTTCAAATCAATACCTTACAGGGACAGCTCAAGAACAAACTAGGAGGAGGACTGACTAGCTAGGTAACAGAGGGCAGGGTGCTGGATGAGCTCTCACAGTTCAAAGTAACAGCACGAGCCGAGGGTTGCAACGTGGTGGAAGGTAAACAAACTGGGCATGGGGCTGAGCACGTGTGCACGTTCTAAACTTCTCATGCTATCGCACAACACACCACATAGAAAGGTTGTTGTTTTTTTTATGGATTTCGCAATGAATTGAATGAAGAGAGTGCTTCAACTCCTCTCTGCACAGATGAATAGTGGGCTGACGGGCCATATGGGAACCCGTCTTTCCAGAACCTTTTACTCCCACTCAGAAACATGGAGGGACATGAACAGATATGGGAATACTTGGATTGGTTGATTTAATGACAGACAGTGTATACAATGACAGTCATAAGAGAGACAACTCAGTGGAAGGACACGCAAAGAAAAATGCAGCAAATCCAGTGAAAACAACTGAACCCATAACCACGACAGCAGCTCAACGACCCAGCCTCATGACTTGGCTTATGCCAGAATTAACAGCACTGTGGGTGATGTTTGCTCCATTCACCCACTATGGAATTCTAAAAACGCCACTCTGATAACCAAGCAGTGGGCTTCTTATGGTTTTTGGCACCAATGTGCAGGAAGAGGTCCAGTGGGGGTGGCTGAAAGCTCTGACTTCCTGGCAAACCCGAGACGACCCTATGAACTCAGCCTGACCAGCCTGTGTACTTTGATATGAGCTGTTCTTCTTGAAGATTATACGCAACTGGTAGACATGAGCTTTCTCAACTAAAAGAGTTAGGAAGAACAGTTTTAATTGATTTCTTATCGACTTAATATTTGGGAATTATTATATGGGAATAAAAAATCTGGGGATGCCACTAAACCTTCCATCTTTACCACAGGAGTCTGAGCAGCTAGGACAGTCCTCACTCCCCTGCTGAACCACAATATTGATCTACATCTCTGACTAATCCCCCCAAACAGCTCCCTGGGGGCAGTGCAAATAGCCCCTACGTATAAAGGAGATTACCAATCTATAATTACTACCACACTCTTCTGAGCATTTAGCCACTTTTGAGGAGAGAAAGAAGAGAGGGAGGTTGAAGTGCTCTTAGGTCAGACATGAACAAACCACCAGAGCTAGCAAGTCAGGCCTGGGCGTGTGGTATGGAGAGCAAATGCAACCGCCGTCACAGAGTCACTCAGGGTGTTCCTCTTGGTCACACAGCTCACATTTCCAAACAAAACCAATGTCATAAAAAATGACGAGTGCAAGACAAACCTGAGAGGGGCAAGCTGTTACTTTACAACTTGGCATCACTTTCTCCCTCTGAGTTCTTCAGCTTTAACTTAGAAACGGGGAAATACTGGCCTGTCTTAACTGACCAAACAGAAACCAAGGTCAAAACAACCCCATAAACTGAAGGTTTCACATTTGCCTACTGAAGTCTCACATCCTATATGTATTTGTGTCAATATTGTGCACCTGTGACTGTTCCCACTGTGCTGTAAACTCACATGCAACACACAACAGTGCTTGGAGAATCATAACCGACTTGTTTTCGGGCCCCCCGTCACCTCTATCAGGGTTCTTGGTTTCGCAAGCAAATAACTTTCTTAACATCTGTTAGCCTCAGCGTTTTGGATGGACGCTGTTATTCAGCAACTGTTGAATATCATACAGTATTGGGCCTCAGGAATATCCAGTTTACAATGTCTGTCATAAAGCTTTTTTAGAAGACTTAAATGTCAGGACATTCCCTCTCATTTCCTCATTCTGTGTATAACACAGAAATGCTTAGTTGTTGCGTAAGCGAGTTACATAATACTACAGAACTGGGCGAAACCAGAGTCTTGGCAAGTTCTGAGGTCTTCACTTTCTTGTCTGCAATGAGGCCAGGCATAGTTTAAAGAGGCAGATACTCTGATATGCTATCAGCAGGATGGGGAAGTATCAAATCACCAACCAAGCAGGATGATGAAGTCCTCTGAAAACCAAAAGTAAGGGAGGAAAACAAATGTAAACCACCCAGAGTTACTCGATCATGACCTGCATCCTGAAAGAGAACAAACTATTTGAGTGTTATTTCTACGATGCATTAACACTAGATCACCGCTTACTGCTGTGCAGCCTCTCATAAAGGTTTGAGACTGCAACAGACAACATCATTGGTACCATAAGCAACAAGTGTGTGGGTGAATTAAATGTGTGCCATGAATTGGTAGTGCCATTTGAAACGCCGATTCAATGGAACTCATGTTTGGCTGTCTTACTGGGTGTGTGAAGTTGACACAGAGAGAGGCTATTATGTGATCATTAAGAGATGCATGCAGGAAGCAGTAAACTAAAGCTTACGGTTTTTATGGTGAAAGGTGGAACACTCTCCTACCACCAACTCGTCTGCATCAATAAGCAGTATGTTCACAGCTTGCTTGGGTGCAGACAAAAACCAACACAGGAACTAAGAAATACTACTTGGATAATAACATATCTCGCACCTTGCCATGGGTGTAGTGCAGCAACAGCTTCAAGTAATCAAAAATATGTTTTGAAATTCTATTAAGAAATCCCTTTATGCACATGAGGAAGTGTGAGTAATGAAGCATTAAAAACTGGTGATCCATCAGTTTTAAAAGCAGTCGTTAGAGGTTTCCCTTCAGGATTGTATGCTGATGAAACAGGCTTGGAGATGTTTGACTTCCTTCACAGACTCAGATACCACAGTTAAATTACACTAGAATAAGACAGGACCTATGCCTTTGGGAGATGACTGTTCACTTTCTAAAATGTAATGTAGATAAGTGGAGAAACATCTTTTCTTGTCAACACTGTCTATCAGCTGCTCTCTGCATGGTGCTGCTTTAGTCGGGGAGGATATCACGTGTTGGCCCCTCGTTCAGACACGATCAGTCAAAGCACAGCCAATCTACTATTGTGATAAGATAGTGTAAGATCACAACTTTCTTTTTGAGCAAAACAACCTGTGTTAGTTCATTCTGAACCATCTCTCTACACACACACACACACACACACACACACACACACACACACAAAAAGGATATAAAATATGGTGAGAATGACAGAGCAATGGGACAAATTACAGCTGAGGGACATATTGCAGTTTTCAGTCAGTAACAAGTCTTATGCGTAATATTAGTGTTGTTATAAAGGAGAAAACTGTCAGGCGAGGTGTGAACATAATGTGTGAAGAAGCACTAGCTGCTGTCCCTGACACATCTGCTGTACAATGGAAAATCAGCTGGCTTTAAAAATAGCTTAACTGTGACAAAGAGACAGTGAAGAGAGAGACATATGAGTCTTTTCTCTGTTGCTCTTCTCATTTGTATCTATTCCTCTCCCTCACACACACATACACATACACACACACACTTACGTAAAAATCTATAGATAGCCTGTCATCATTTGGTATCCCTACTACACCAGCAGACTGTCTAAGGGGCTAAGAGAAGAACCCGAGACATGATAGGGGATTAAAAGGCTACTTTAATCTGCTGCTTAGCTCTGGTGCTTTACTAGTTTCGTCGCTAGCGTCTCACTCTGGAGATTTCCTAGGGACCTGTCTCAGTTTCAGCAAGATAGCTAGCTCCCCCTTTTGTGCCAGCCACCAATAATATGTAACCCATTCACTGTTCACAGATCGCTCTGGTAAACAACACAATAAAGCACGACCAGATCTATATTTTATTCCAGCCTTTCCCCTTGCAAGGTAATTGGTACTTTACAGTCAAAATGTGTGTTTATCACATCATATTGTGTGTTGGTGTGCACAGAAACGTAGATGTTTGAGTGGTTCTTCTGTACTGGCCTGGCGTCGGTTGTGGATGATTGAATCAACCCTAACCACAAAGATTCATCATGCAGAACAATGCTGTGCTTTGGTGTGGAACTTTATAAATTAGAGACTAAGGATGAAGCACACATAACTGTATCTGTCCTGCCGGCTTCAGACGGCTGAGGAGATCTAATCAAATGGAGGAGATGGGTTCTATAAAAGTCAAGTGTGGATGGCAGATAGTGGTGAGAAACATCCTCTTTAAAACTTTACCTCAGCACAGAGACACATATTTTCTTGCATCTTTCTATTTTCACAGTTTGCAGTGTGCAGGACCCACAAACGCTGAATCATTAGTTGTGAGGCAGCTGATGTGAAAAGATAAGACGCGTGCAGAAATATAGGAAAATGTGCATCTCATCAAGCCTCAACAACATCCACACACTGATGTTTGTATAGAAAAGGTACAGGACCTAAGGTTCAACATTATCGACACTAAACTGGCTTTTCTTAAATTCACTAGTTGGATTCTGATCTTTAATTTCACCTGAAGGAAAATGTTTCCGAAGTGATGCATCAGACATGTTCTCAGGTTCATAATGAAATGTTGTTGGAGTTAATCACAGGCTTTCTAAAGCACACATTAGTTGGAAAAACGAGTGCTTTTAGCCATCAAGCTAACGTTGCTGTTAGCTTCCTTTCTGACAACACGCAGCACACAGACAGATACACAGACTCTTCCAATGAGTAATAACTTAGCTTTTGGTGGCTCTGTGATATTTAAGGGACCGAAGGCAGAAAACTTTGAGTGAAAAGTGTCGTTTAACGAGTAGAAAACTCCGAGCTAACCATCTAACTTAAGCTAGCTTTATCCAGTTAGCCCCTCTTACCTTTTGAGGGAGACGAGCGCAGCACAGCAACACCAAAACGCACCACAACCGGGTCCGACCGCTCACTGTCCAGTCCATATTATCTGGTCTCAAACCGGGGTTGGGGGGGGGGCAGACAGCTGGTCCGGACGGCCGAAGACTACATATGAAAAAACGTGATTTTGGCTCACAACCAAGATGTTACGTTATATATTTTTTAAAAACGCTGTTACGTTCACAGGCATTTGGGTACCAACGTTAGATCCGCTTCTTCCTGAACTGAAACTCGTGGGGGTTGGACTTTGGGATAGATATCCACACCGAGTGGAGGAGGGGAGCTGGAGAGTCGGTGTGAGCCAATGAGAAAAGACCCGACACACACCGGATGTGGTATAAAGTACATCCGGGGGGAGACGTTTTCTGCACAAGTCCGACCCCTCCCTTTGCGAGCATGCTTTCTGTAGCCAGACCAGTCGGACTCGAAATATTTGCATTTAGCATGGCTGGAAGGAGATTATTAAGTGCATGTTTTAGGTGCAGTGTTGTGATTCACGACTTGAGTTTGCAGAAGAAATGACTTCCCCCTAGATTGAAGTCATGAAGGTGAATATTGGAGCCATGTGACAAGGCCGCACCGGCGCGGAAATGTGCTGGTAAGTTTGACGTTTTAAAACTAAAATGGCAAATGCATTGAGTTATTTTCCTCTTCATAACAGTATATTGTGCTGTCCACAGGCCCGGTAATAAACCCGGATCGATGCGGTGTTTTTGAGGCGGTTGCACATTCACACGTGGGCTGGAGGATGGCGTACTTTCAGATGAAGGTTGGCCGAGGCCTCTTATGACTTTATGACAGTGAGTATTTCTGGTAAAATCTCTTTTAATCTTCCTTTTGTTTTGAGTTCATGAATGATTATATCCATGCGTTAGACTTCTGATTTGCAGATGAAGTAAACATATTCTGACTTGACTCACACACACCAGTCTGTGTGTGTGTGTGTGTGTGTGTGTGTTCAATAAATTCACTCAGACATGTTTTTATTTGCAGGATTGCAGGAGAGGATTGATTCCTGGAATAGCAAATGGGGAATAAAGTAAGTATCTTGAGTGAGCAGAAAGTGTTCTGTAACGTTTATGAATGATGATCATAATGCGTTAGACTTCTGATTTAACACTGAAGACAATTTAGATCTGACATAAACCACATCAGGTCTTTAATGGATGGTGTTTCAATAACTGAACTTACTCAAAGTTGTGTTTTTTTTTTTTTTTTTTTTTTCTGCAGAGCTTTGACTGCAGTGCTCAAGAAACAGAGGCACTACTGGAAATTACAATGTTACACCATGATTCTTGGGTTACATGTGTTTTTGAACCAGAAGATATACATACACTTATTTTTCTGGATGTAACAAATGCCCTGTATGAATAAAGCATTTTTCAACAAACTCTGTATTGTTTTCCATTTGTATTCCACTTTTACATGCTGTAACTTGATTTTTAGGCACTATACTTTCAACCTGAATGGCCTTTTCCTTGGCCATTCACACGGGTCAAGAGTAGTGCAAGATCATGTCTTGTCATAACTGGAGCTTCTTGGCAATTTAACCAAGTCTCTCTTTTAAAGCAAGATACACTCTAAATACAGTTCACAGCAATAAGGTGTGTAAAAGAAACAAATGGATTTGGCTTTTGCTGTGCTGCTGAGATTATGATTAATATACAATTAAATCTAATGAACAAAATGCAGCCTGAGGTAATGGATGTTTTATAACTGCATATATAACCATATTTTAGAGTCTGCAAAATCTATAAGATACTGAGTTTATCAACTTTTAGTACTAGAACTATTTTGATAAACTTGTTTATGATTTTGAGTCTTCCTGCTTGTTTAATGTAAGAATTTGCTGCTTTTGTTTAATGTCCTTGTAAATTGTATCTTTTAGTTTTGGCCTGTAGGATGGACAAAACAAGATGTCACCTTGGATTCTTTTATAGACTAAACAATCTATGAAACAGTCAGCAGATTTATTGTTAGTGAAAATAATACTTAAGAACTCTGATTTACGCAGATGTGGGTCTGCTGTTACTCCTTTTCTGTTACAACTACAAAGCCACACAAGCTCTTTCCAAGCAGAAGGTTTTATTGATCCACAACGATCAGAACCAGAACATTCTGTGACATCACTGAACACAACAGCAATGTTTTCATATTTTCATCACTGTGCAAATGAACAACACCAAAACCTGTGAAAACAAAGGGCATGTCTTGACAGACACCGTAATGGCACAAAGACATTTTTCTCTCTATCCTCAACTGATGCAACAAATGTGGTGGCTCACTATGGAGGAATGTTTGATTATTTTAAAGGCACTTTCTGCCTCATACACTTTGCCAACACACACATTTGAACATAAAACATGTAAAATAATAGTCACCTATAAAGCAGCCGGATGTCTTGGCAGATTCGAAAGTTACTGTTCTAAGTTTATTGGTGTTATTCGGTACTGAAAAAAAAAACATCAAATCAATAAATAATTCAACAGAAAAAAGAGCATTCATAAGCTGGATGTCTGCTGACAACGTTAAATAATATGGCTAATATCCAGTATGTTATTTATTCAAATAAAACCATGTTAACAACAGGGGTTCAGTCTCCTGCCCCTGCAACAAAACAGAAAAATCACTCCCTGCAGATTATATCTCTGTCTAATGAATTTCCAGCTACAGTTACCCAAACAGGTTGTACATCACTGCAGTGGCCTCAATTGGAGCACAAGATAATGGACCAATTTCTTATTTATCACCATTTACCTCATACAGTAGCCGTCAACAAGGACTGAAAGATTGCTTAGGCAATAAAAAAAACAAAATTATTACTTTTGCTCAACTGAATATAAAATGAAAGGAAGTCTTGGAGCATGTTTTGCGTAGAAGCACGTCGTAAGTGAATGAGCTATTCCTCGCACAGCTAGGGAGCCGCATTCCTATTTATACATTCATCAGACCTAGGCAATGTTCAGCTGCTGTGTTTGCAGATATGCTTTAACTCACCACCCTAAAAGTCAGTTTTAGCTCTAATCCCTACCACACGGTTTAAAGCACACAGGCTGTATGTTATGATAGTGTCCACCTTAGATTTAAACTGACCCAGTATCTTCGATGGACACAGAGCCATTGATCTGTTTGCATATAAGTGCCAGGCGGCTGGCACAGGCAGCAGTGTGGATGCGTGGTAAATGAGTCTTGATTTCCCCATAAATGTGTATTGATGAATGCAGGGGCTTTCAGCAAAATCATCTCCAAATTTTCTCCCTCAAACATTTGCCCACTCAGACACACACATACACACTCTTTATCAGTGGCCTCAAAGTTCTCGCAGAGTTATGGCAAACAATAAACTGCTCGATTAGAAAGGTTGTTTACACTGTACAGCTATCATGTTCGGTGCAGCTGTACATCACAGGTATTATGGTTCTTCTGGTTGAATCTGATGGCTATTCGTCGATCCACGCACATTTGTTAAACGGTCTCGACATGCCCCATGTGTTTTGTTTCATCAGAGAATGAATCATAATGTTTGATTGGGTTACAATCTATGAGTCACAATTCTCATTTCGTTTCTCCTGCTTTCAGTCGCCACGGATAATCACAAGCTTCCCCAATACTTCCAGTTTTGTGAGTGGCCACAGACCGGTGCAACAATGGGACCGGAACATGGATAAAAATATTAAAGAGTGGGCCCGGCCCGTTGCTGCACCCGTGGGTGTCCGAGGGGAGGGAGGGGGGGTACTTGCCATATTGCCATGGTGATAAAATGTCTTGTTACACACTTTGAACATCAGTCTTCACATGTCCGAGGCCTCAGACTCCTCGGGTTCTGGGTCCTTCAAGGCATCATTTGTCACAGTAACCAAGTTGGCATTTGACCGTGTGTCCATGGCAGAGTGCATTATGGGTAGCCATACATCATCCATGTTTGGCATCACAAATATTTTCTGTAAGAGGACAAGCACAGACATAAGCACAGTCATTTAATTACAGCAATGAAAGAGGAGGACACTGAAATTTGCATGTTCAAAGACTATTGTGAAGGGAATGGAGCAGAAACTATTTATTAATATGCTTTTGTAACTAAAAATATATACCAAATAAAGATAATGGCAAGAAAATATATCTGTTAACAAGAATTGGAGAAAAAAGAGACCTAACATACAACATCCCATGTGCATCCAACCTGTCATTGTTATGTCTAGAAACCAGTGAAGCCTGAGTTAGGCCTTTGTCGAAAGCCACATGTATATACTCACTCACAAATGACAACAGTGTGCACAGCAGCACTGTATTTTACTGCAGGCATGGTTGAGAATAGGGGTGATATGTAATAATAACCCCCCAGAGGAGTCAGGCTGGGATAAATGTAGATGTGTGGTAAACCTGACAGGGACACAGTAGTTTGCAGGTGTGCCTCAGGGTGGTTATCTAACAGCAGGCATATCATTACTTTGGATTTATATGTGAGGGGTGGGAAAGCCACAGGCACACTGCTTTGAAGTGTATGTAGGTAGGCAGCCATAAATCAATCCTCTTTTATAACCTAAATTCTCACCCTAAAACATCTCCCTTTGTCCTTGAGAAAATGTTTAGCCTCTCTGTCAGGCCAACTGAGGTTAAACACCATGGATATAACATCCCCTACTAACTATTGACAATGTAAATAAACTGTATTTATGATTAAATATTTGCATGCACAGTTTCCTGTCTTTCTCAGTGTATACCTGGAACTCCTGGTCCAGTTTCTTCTCAATCCAGTCTGTCACATGAACTAAAGTGACCTCCCTCTCACCCAGTTTAGGCCGTGCTTTCAGCTCTATGTGAGGCGGGCTCCGGAAACCATACCTGAAAGCCAAGATGAAACACTGATGGTAAAACAAAATCATATTATGTCATATAAATGGAACAGTAGTCTGCAGGAATAGGTTCTCAGAAAAAAAAAATCCTATTTCACAACATACATATACAAATTAAGGTCATGACAATGCTGTAGATCAGTGGTTCCCAACATTGTTTGGCTTGTGACCACTTAAAATGAGGCAGTGTTTACATCTGACTTTCTCATCATAGGTTAGGGCTTCAGTGTGTACATGAAGAATAAGCAGTTCAGACAAAGAGTAATTTTTCCCTTCTAAGATGGTTTAATTTGAAGGATTTCTAGAAAGAATTCACTATTCACAAGAAGAAAATTAGGGAAGAATCAGAAGAATCCTTCTTATTCTTCATCTGGTGATTTTTCTTAGTATTTGCTAACAAGCTGGGAGTCACAGCTATACATGCTGGTGAAGGTGATCATTATTATTAGATATTATAATTAAGCTTATAAAGTGTACATTGTGTTCTTAAGGATTTAATACTTAACATCTTCAATGAAAATACATACTTTTGTGTCCTCATTTCCTTAAATGTTAAGTATATTTAGTTCACTGGTGATTAAACATTTGTATTCCTTTACTGTATGCATGCCTGTATTTGCCCAGCAGAGGGTGCTGAGATATATTCTCAAGGATTCCCTGACTACATCCTACAGTCTTCAATGCACTCCTCCCTGGAAGTGAACATACCATATCCTATCCGTGGGGGGAGGTGGGATATTGACAGCCAGCGTCCCACGGCACTCTTGCACCTCCACAGTGAGCAGCAGGGGCGTGTTGGATACCTCCTCCATCTTCTTCTTAATGAACTCCGTCTCCGTGGCTTTCTGAAAGTACTTTGACTTGGCTATCTTGTCCACAAAGCGCATGATCTTGCTGGGCCTGTGGCCTCCCACATAGCTACGTGAGCAGAGGATGGAAACAGAGGAGGAGGAAGATGAGGGGAGGCAAGGAGTTAGTCAGGTTCATCATTTATTCATAACGTCATCTCTTGCTACTCAGCACCCACGATGGAGGGGAGTGACCGGGTGCTACATTAAATCAGAAGCAAGCTTTCAAATGTGTGGGAGCGGGTAGGTAGGTGGGTAGGTGGACTGAAAGGGCAGATCATTCTGCTTCAACACATCAGTGTGAATCTGTTTCTGTCCATTTTCAGTTCAGATGTGTGATGGTATTGTTGTAAAGAGACATTTGCTCACCCCTCGGCTCCAGGAAGAACGGCTTTATCGCTGAGTAGTTCTGGGGGATCCTCTTCATCCGATGAGCCAGCACTAGACGACTCCTCATCGCTGTCTGCCAGACAGTATGTCCGTGGCCTGGGCCTGTCACACACACACACACACACACACACACACACACACACACACACACACACACATAAAAACACTCACTGCTGCAAAGTCAGGCTCTAATGGCTTTGCAAAGAACCATTAACAATTAAAACTAATTCCCATTAAATGCATCCCCGCTGATAAAAAAAAATCACAGGAAATTAATCTCCAACAATTCACAAACAAAACAAAAATCCAGAACAAAATGTGTTGTTTCAATGACAGGTGTCTATTCCAAAACTCACCAGTCATTGGACAAATCCACAGTGGTAAGCGTCCAGAGAGAGGATTAGTGTATTAATAGAAAGGAGGAAGAGCCAAGGGTAGGAATTGTGAAAAACAGATACACTATGGTTCTACATGCAAATCTACCCAATTAACATCCAGCTCAGAGCTGTTTGTTTAGCAAAAGAGTTAATCCTTCAGACATCCTATTCTGGCCTACTCGCTGAGAATGTATTATAAGACAATGAGAAGAACAAACGTGACGTAAGGACAAGCTGTGAAGGATCGCTCTCAAATATCTGTAACACATTTTAAAAGTCAGACTCAGCTTCATGAGCATCATTACTAACTGTAAAAGAGAAAATCACTAAATGTAACTGAAAAACCTCACCACTCTTTTCCATGCTCCCCGAGCCCCTCACCCTCCTTCCCCAGACGGGCCAGGTTCATCTTGGTCTCTAGTGTCATGAGGAAGGAGCCCGAGTAGGAGATCTCCAGATCAAACCACAGACCTGGACACAGACATGTGTTTCAGTATTACAATCGTGTTACTTTACATCAACAATAACACCACAGCAGCATAAAAAATTTAATTCTGATTGCTATTTCTGTGAATCACAAAAACCTCCTGCCTGGTGTCTAATTGCTGTGAGGTCCCCTGCAGAGCTGCCAGGAAGAAGACCTATCCACTAGCAAACACTGAAAAGGTCAGTTCTAGGGTAGCGGTGCCTCCTTATCAGCTCACTTCATCGGGTCTACTTCCTATTTACACATCACACTTTTCAGGAGGCGACGGGCAAACAATTCGGTTTTCGATCCCCCTGCGGTTTGCTCATTGAATGTTAACCTCTGCAGCTGATAAGTGTTGCTTATTAATCCTCTGCCTCGCTCCTTCCTCCTCTTCATTTTCCATTCTCCTAAAATGCTCATTGATTTGTATGTGTGTGGCAGCAGTGTCAAGGAGAAGCTAAATGACAGCATTAAGTCAGGACACGTTAGACACTGTCTCATTGTCTAGAACACGACACACAGGAGGGAGAGACAGTCTGGAGTACCTGATTAATTTTGGAGGAGTCGATATATCTGCCCCACTGACATAAGCATGTGTGCTTTTCTATGTAGAACTGTGAAATATATCATAACAGCAATATTATATGAGACAAGATATTGCCTTGAATCTACGTTATTGTAATATATAGCTTATATATAGCTTGAGGTATAATAAAATTAGTATATTTAACTTGCTCGGCCATCATATCTGCCTATATGCCTTTTATCCATTCTAGTGGTGTTGCTCAGTTGGGCAATTAATTTAGGTTTTTCTTGACATATATTCCATACTTCATATTTGCATCTTTATTCTGTTTACTTTTGTGGATAACTTGATTTTTGTATCTCCTTATAATGCTTATTCTTGTCTTCTACAAGCCTCTAGGGTCTTTTTTTTATTCTCATCTGATTCTACTGTTATTTTATTGTGCAAATAAATCAAATCAAATATCCCAACAAATATTGGATGGATTGCCATACAGTTCTGTGCAGGCATTCGTGGTCTGAAGAGGAGGAAGGGTAAGGGTTAGGGTTATTGTTGATATTTTTGATTTGGTTGAAATGTCTCTTAAGATGGATTGGATTGCAGATGGTGCTCAGAAATGTCTCTTAAGATGGATTGGATTGCAGATGGTGCTCAGATGATGAATCTTTGGTAACCTTTCCCCTGGTGCCACAACTAGGTTTACATTTGTGGTTTAGAGGGAAATGTTTCATTATGTACTGTATATACACATTACTACTACAGTTTATACATTTTACTATTACTCAGCAGGCTACCACAGTATTAGATTTTACTTCATATTTTATTTCTATATTTTAGCTGCTGCACTATTTTATGCCTTAGATTGTAACTAGATCTGTTCCACTTATGTGATTAGAAGTTAGAGGGAGCTATCTATGAGGGGAGGATATCTAAGAATTTCATTGCCAGTGACTGCTTCACTGTAATTGTTGTGTACATGACAGTAAAACAACTTCAACTGTACTGTGTGATAATTAAATGTTAGCGATAAACTATTATGAAAACATGGATGTTTAAACTGTACTGACAACCATTATATACATATAATAAACACTTAATGTGTAACCATTCATAAAAATGGCAAATTTTTCACATCTAAATTGCCAAATACGTTGATTCTGTCACTTCGTTCTGGTCGTATTACATTTACTTCACCACGACTGCTAAATCAAAAGTGCATTTTACACCGCAACTTTGATCACATTCAACAGTTAGGTTTTCTTTACAATAAGCTTTACAGTCTGTAGACTCTATCTTTTTCCTCCAACACTAACATCACCCACTCCTATTTGATGTCCAATGTTATCAATTGTCTACTAGAATTGATAGTCATGGTCACAGTCTCATTCTCAATGTCTAGGTGAATGTCTAGTGAATGAAAAAAGGATTAAATCAATAATGCCGAGTTCTACTCTACACAAGCTTGTGTGCATTCAGTAGTTCTTGGAGCACAGTATAAACATTATAAAATCAAATCATGTCTTCCTAACATTAAAAAGTCAAGAAGCACTCTCGCTCTCCTTATCATTATCACAAGAGCAAAGAAATATATGCAAGATTATTTAGAAATTAGGTGTGTTATTATCGCAGCAAATGCATGCTGTTTGTGCAGGTTTACAGCGCAGCCGTTCCCTAAGGACTAATTATGTGCTAGGATCAACTGATGATGCTTTGTGAGTATATTTCTGTGGGCGTATAGGTTCAGACAGAACACATTAATGAGCATTGCAGACTCAGCCGTGGAAATGTGGCTGACAGGAAAATGACTCATGACTGGTTGATTCAACTGAATAGCAAAAGGTATTACACTGTCAATGCTCTTATATCTTTAGACGCAGGATCAAATTAGACTAGATTGTCTTTGGACAAACCCTAAATATTAAAAAAATTAGGCCAGAAGAATATAATTATGGTAACTTACTCATCTCTTGCTCTGCATAAAAGCACCACTATTGATTGAAACACACCACCCACAACCTCTTCCCTTCTTTTCCCCTTCTTAAGCTTCTCTTTTCTCATTTTCTCCCCTAATCGGCCATCTTGGTAGGAATTAATACACCTCACATCTTTGTGTCGAACCAGTCCCTTTGCTAGGGCTCAAGGCAGGCGGCAGGCAAGGTGAGTCAGTGTTTCAGTAATGGATGAGGAGACGTGAAGTTTAATTACTGTGGCTTAATAGAGCGAGGCACACACAGGGGCTAGACTCCCAAGCAGAGAGGGAGAGAAGGTTGAAGGGAGGGGTAAACATCTTAATCCAAAGAGAAGAAGAACAATGCTTAGGGAAGATGGAGATGAAGAAGATGGCTAGATTGAGGGGAAAAGAAAAATTATGGTGCGTCTCGCTATTTTGTCAGAAAGGCAAGAGGAACAGCCTGGGTTATAATGAAAGATAGCAGTGGAAGAGACCATCCAGAACACTGTGAAAAACATGACATACCTAGTGTAGCTTCTCTTCCTACCTTGGTGGTCCACGGAGGGTGGTGAGGCATGTAGGATCTTGGGAATGGAAAAGCCCATGTCTAGCTCTGTCAAAGTCAGCTCATTCATTACATATGGCAGCTAAAGACAAAACAAATTAAATACAGCCATCAGAGACACACAATTGTCTCTTGAACTGATCAGATTTAAAAACAATTCAATCTGATTTGTTAGTTATACTGTAGATATATATTTGAATAAGCTAGTACCAGTACCCACCCTGATCTTACTGAGCTTCATTTGGATCTTTTTGGAGACCACATTGGCCCAATACTTCTCTCCCAGAAAATCCCAGAATATCCTTCCAAGAAAAGCATTGACCCAGGCCTCGGGCTCCATGGTCTCCTCTGAACTCCTGCGTATCTGAAGGACACACATACAGGTATGTACTGTAGATTTTAATCTTCTTGACATAAAATTAAGCTAGTAGGTTCTGGTCAAGTATAATAATAGTCTACATTAAGCCTAGATTTGCGCCAGGCTCTGTCTCCTTCCGTGGCCAGATCAGATCATAAGCTTGCGGTTGGGCCCCTTGACCTCCTGGGTTCAAATTCACAATATAAACTCAAACATAATTACAACCAGATTTTGACACAGGGCCCCTCGACACTGCATGACCACAAGATTAAAGGTACTCTGTGGAGCAAAATTGCTTGCTTGTTAACGAAAAGTGTAAATGGAATCCATACAGCGTAAACACATTCTTAAAGAATAAAATCACCCAGGAGGTTGAATGGTCACCTATCTCAAGAGCACAGCCAGAGCTGCCAACACTACTGTTTTTCCTGGGTTTCTCCCGTATTTCAAGGCCATCTCCAAGCACCGTCCTTTTGCTGTTTCTCCCGGAAACTCACATGAGTTGCATGGTCCTCCAACTTTATTATGTATAATCCTCATACACGGATCCATAAGTACTGTTTGTCTGACGTCACCCAGATTGCCAGATCATCTATGAAACACAATCCACACACTACATACAATTTCAACCCATCTGTCACCACAACCTGATTCCAGAGGAATGTGCACAGCTTCATTATGTGCAGGTGTGACGGGTTGGGCCAGGTAATATAACATTAACTCTTTTCAAAATGTCAGGAGACAGGATGGCGTTCCAGCTAAGTAATCTAAATACAACTACAAATTTAAGCAGAGTTGGACTAAATGCAGTTTCTATTCATATCTGCTAGTCACCAGGATAGTGGCCGTGCCTTCCCTAGCTAAAACTAATGAAAACATACCATTTTTGTTGACAATCTCAATCACAATCTCAAAACACAATGCAGAATGGAGATAACAAGAGTGCTAATTAAAAAGGTGTAAATGCAAATGCTGTGGATCACATGTCACTATACAGATAATGTACCCACACGCAGATCATATGTTAAAACAAAGTGTAAATGCCTGTGTTGACGCATTAACAAGTTTCTATTGTGCATTACCACCAAGTAACAATACAAACAAAACAGGGGCCCACTAAAGAAAAACCTTTTCCATCCTTGTGGTCAGAAACTCTAAAAAGCTATCTTATTGTGCTTAAGAGGTGTTATACAAATCTACAATTAATTAAATTACCTTTGAACAAGTGACATCATCAGGGGTCCTAAAAGATTTTATTCAGTATTTCACATTCAATTCGGTTTCCTACCTTTTTGGTAGTTTTGGGGCTGCTCTCGGGGCTGTGCCCGGGGCTCTCAGTGGCAGTTGGGCTTCTCGGTGGTGCCTGGGGGTTGACGTATTTAGCCATGTAGACATTATAGTCCAACAGCATCTTCTGCTTCATCCCTCCACCAGAGGCACAGGAGAGAGCTGAGGAGGTCTCTCGGTGGCGAGACTGAGACAGCTCCTCCAGGCTCCCCCGGCTGCTGCTCCTGCTGTCAGCCTCCAGGCCTCCACCAGATTGCGTGCTGCTACTGCGGCTGTGGGAGGGCAAGAAGGCTAAAAGTGGAGGGGAAAATTAAGGGGAGGTTAATGTGATACAATTAGGCATCGACAACATTTCAGAGATTTTAATCAATGCATCATATGTCACATGCATAATGCAAGACTTTAGATTAGCATCTATTTTTTAATATGTTTTCACAACATACTGCAACACTCTGAATAAGCATGCTTTACACCAGATGACACACTGCATCATCTCTCTGACTCACATTAGCACTGAAATAGTCATTTTTCAACATAATTGGTATGTATATCCACAAAACAGCTTGATATTTAAATCATCTTTCCAGTAATCCTGTTCACCCTGCACTGCCTTTATCACTGGACCCACACAGTGCTAGTGTTTCCCTTATCCTCTCAGGCTTATATCTCACAGTGGAGACCAATACTATAATATAGTGCTTCTCTGTGCATGTAATCCTGCTGACCCATTCACACTCATCTGTTCGCTCAGTTGAGGGGATTGGCAGTCCCTAAGCCGGGGCTTATGCACAGATCTGATGGCTGTGCAGTTACATACCCAAGAGAATAGCTATTCTGACTGTGGAAAGTGATGTGCGTCTGTGCAAGTACAATATGTGTGTGGAAAGGGTGAGAGAGACAGATAAACCCATCTACTGTGCATGGCTGTTTGCATCTCGGTGGAAGATACTCAGTCTCAAACTCACCACTCTTGCAGACGCCAGACAGACTGCTACCTCTCGCCTCTGACTTCATTCGGGACGCCAGAAGAAATCTCCGGAACCATTCTTCCTTTTCCCGACCTGTCCTCCCAAACAGGTAGATTGTCAGGTCCCCCCCTCCAGAGGTTGGTCTTTTGGGTTCCTCTGATGATCCTGATACTTCAACTTTCTCGCATTTGTCCGTTCGTTCTAGCTTCTCGCCCAGCCCTGCTAACTTGTCCTCCCCAGCTTCAGTCTTCTCTCCCTGGGCCTTGGACATGAAGTCCTCCTGCTTGGCCAGCTCAACGCAAATGGGGTACTTCTTGTTCCAAACTCTCTTCCTAGCCAAGCTTTGCGGCACCAGTTGAATCTATGGTGACATATACACCAAGTTCAAATAATTAAACACATGAAGATGATGAAGTTGTTGTTTTTGCAGTAGAATGCCCACATTGAATAAGGACACACAAAAAATATTGTATAGCACATTGAAACTGCAAATAGTATGTGGCAGACTTGCCGCAGGGTGTGAGTGGCAGCAACTGGGGGCTTGAAACATTTTGAAAATAGAAACCCCCCCAAAATGCAGGCAGGATTACAAGTGCAGATGACTCATGTATTATGTGTTTATATGTATCTAACCCAAAGCTCAATTCGTCTTTGACCAGCAATTTAAGAACATGTCCTTTCTTTTGTTAATGACAAAAGTAGCCGGCATAGTAGCTAGCATTTGCCATCATTCACTGTTATACAGTATGTTGTAATGCTACTTGCAATTTTGTTTCCATTCAAGCATAAATTCTTGCTCCGGCCAAACACAAACACAAAATATTAGCATCACATGGTTCTCTTCTGGAGGACTGTAAAACAATCAGACCTTGACTGTGAATGCATGTTTGGGGACACTTTTATGTGTAATCCACATCCTGTATCCTGTAAATGCAGACAACATTCAAGACAGAGCAAACATTCTCAATAATGGTGGTGAAATGACACTTTAGGGAGCCATTCAGTTCCAGAAGAAGGAGACTGGGGTCATTGCAACATGAGGACGACCATAATGACTCCTTTGCTCCATGATACACTGACAGGAGAAATGTCTTCTTACTGTCCTGCCTTCAGATATACAAAACCACAGAGTCAGCACCTAAATACACAAGACACACAGTTGTGTGTACAGGGTCAGTGACCTGTGATATTCACTCCATGTTTACACACAATATGTGACTCTGAGTAGCTTTGTCACTGAACATGACCTATTAGCAAGCATGCACTCAGGCAAAGGCAAATATGAGGGGACGTGTGCTTGATGTCACTATTTGTTAAGCACACAAATACACTGGAGAGACAGCAGAGACACACACACACACACACACACACACACACACACACACACACACACACACACCCCCCCACCACACATAACACATTAATGCCCCCCCACCCTTATTTTGTCCTCCTCTCACACACTCACTAGCAGACACAGAAACACATGACAAAGCATTTCACCAACTCTCTTCACCCACACACACCCACAGCCAGCCCACCTTGCTGTCAGTCAGGTCATAGATCTTCTGGCTGATGTAAGTGACGTCAGGTTTAGGCTCGTTGTGTGTGGCACGGCGGGAGATGTTGCGGTTAGGCTTCGACAGGCGCAGGACGGAGCCCTCTAGGCGAACGTAAACAGAGTGGGTCAGGGTAGCGTGGTACATCTCTGGGTCGTAGTTGTGGATCTCATTCATCCAGCCCTGAGAGATAGAAGCGGTCGAGGAGAAAGAGTTTTAATTGATATACACACATGTCAGACTCCTAGTCAGACTCTCTAGAAACTGTTTAAGATTCACAGTCATTCAGGGGAAAAGGACATTTCGCAAAAGTAAGCAAAGGGCAGGCAGGTGTAATTGAAAGAAAACTGAACTTGGTGTTAAAGATGTTTTGCCACTAAGAGGCTTCATTAGTTAATGTGGAAGCACTGAATAGAGGACGAACAATACTGGAGGCTTGAGGCTGACACAGATATTGATATATTGAGTTAAAAATAAACACATATCACCCAATTTTCTTTTTTTTATTCATAAGCACATACCATTCTGTTTTTAATATATTTAATGGCAACACATCTTTGGCATTCTGTGTTCTGCAATTTCCTGCTACTTATCAGCCAACATATGTGCTAATAATCAATATACCATCATATAATTTCCTGATATCACAATGTATTATAGAGCCCTACTCTTAAAGGACCAGTGTGTAGGATTTAGTAGCATCTGGTGGTGAATAACATGGACTTGATACCCAACCGTATAGCGGAACCTACGGTAGCTGCAAAACTCAAAAAACTCTGTCTTGAGCCAGTGTTTGATTTGTCCATTCTGGGCTACTGTAGAAAAATTATGGACTCCGTAGAAGAGGACAGGTCCACTCCCTCTGTAAAAAACTGTTCTTATGTTATTATACACTAATGAAAACATACTTTTGAATGTTATATTCCATTTCTGCCAATATATCATCCTAAGTGTTTACCTTTAGCTTTACAGCATAAAAAAAAGGGATGCCAACATTTTCTCTGCCAACTGTGGTCATCAATAAACCTCCTTGCACTATTTTCTACAATCACAACCAAATTCCATGCCAGTATATTTTTAAAACAAAATTCTTGCACAAAGGATGCAGTGGCAAAGTTCATACAACAAAACAAAAGATAAAGTGGCACATCTGAAACACTGACTCTTTGTTGATCCTCAGAGGAAGACAAAGATGAAAATAAAGAGAAAGAGGAAAGTTTGTCCCCACTTCTGTTGCCCTGCGCTTGTGTGCTCCAGGGTCTATCGTTCATGTGCGTGTATCACGTTCTGCACAACCACAGAGCTCCTCTTTTGGAACAACTGTGCCCTCCAGTCATAAATATCTCCTGTGCAACAGCTTGGTACCCACTAAGGCACAGACACATACAAGTACATATGCTTACATAACTCTCTCAAACTAGTAAACTGGGAGAGCTTCTGCATCACTGAGTGAGGTTAACTGAGAACAAGGGGCAAATGTGGTGGCACTCTCATTCAGATGTTTGGTTCAAAGCTAAACTAAACTGTAGCTGTCACTGAAGAAAAAGTGTAATATAAGCCCAATTGTTACTGGTGGCCCCCACGAGGCTGTATGGAGTTTAATTCTCATCCAAACTCCCACCTTATCAGTCCCAAAGGAGGCTCTGAGAGCAAAGCCAATTCAATTGAAACAACAGGGGAAATTTCAGTGCTTGGCAAGTGTAAAATGTGGTTAAAATGATAGAGCAAAGAATATATAGTCTAAAGATACAACAATAAGCTCTTGGAGACAACAAACCTACCTACTCCAATTTAACTTCTGCTCGATAGTAAACAAAATAAAATTGGCATTCTGTGTACTATTTGGTTCACTCAGGATGGTTTCTCCAAGGCATGGTTAGATAAATGCCATAGTCACATATGACACTGACGTTATCAACTACACGTAATATAATAATAGGTTATCTTAACTCTTGGCTATATATAAGAAAGTATTTTTTGCACATTTGTCTCTTTTTATACCAAGGCAAATTCCTTACGAACAAAACACGCAGCTTAGGTATGCATTTGATAATGTTGCAGCAGAGCCAGAACACCTGCTAAAAAAGCCAAGGTCTTTGAGAGAAAGATTAAAAGCCTACATAGAATTTGGGGAAACAAGTTTACATTCTGAAGTCATATATCAACAGGCCTAAACTTGGCCCCCAATCCTGTGCTTTGTCTCACCTTGAAGATTCCTGGTTCTTTGATATCCAGCTGAGACACATTCCACTGCTCTACCCTTCGCCTCCCTCTTCTTGTCTCCAACGAAGAGCGTCGAGGAGATGACAGCCAAAGGACCAGCAAGGCCAACATGAACCCAACTACTATCCCATGCACCACCACACATACATAGGGTGGCACTGGAAGGATTAAATACCAGTACACCAACTGTGCCAGCAAGATGAGGCCAGTCACAGGCACAGCCTCCAACTCCTCCTCCATTTTCTCCTCTTCTTCTGTGTCAAGTTCACTACACAACCCAGTGCTTCCAGTATGGGGCGGCCGGGACCCAGGTCGATCCCCATCTGGTGTTTCTGTATCGGTACATAACTCAAAGTCTTCACTGTACAGTTCACAGAAGTCCTCGTCTTCCTGTCGAGCTACCAGGGCCGACATAGAGCAGCGTCCCAGAGTGATAGAAGGAGACTTGGGGAAAGTGGATGAGGAGGCCTGGGCGAGGGCTGGGACTGGTGCCAATGATGGGAAGGAGAAGAAAACAGAGTCAGGGCCCTTGCCCGTGGGGGTTTCCTCCTCTTCTTCCCCTTCTGCCCCTTCCTCCTCCTTGATGCTATAGTTGTTGTTACCTTCTGTGTGTCCATTTACTGCTGTCACTCCACTGAGCTCTGACGCACTGGAGGACAGTGATTTGGCACGATGAGTGGCACTTCCAACAGCTCCCATGCCAGACTCATCCCCCATGATCTTGCTAAAAAGCTGCAGGGGGTCTGACATTACCTCTGACAGCCGCCGCTTGGTATCTTCTATCCTGGCCTCCACCTCTTGGACCTTGAAGAATGACCTACCATCTGGGGACATGATGGGGGAAGAGGGGGCTGTTTTGGAGTCTCCACCTGCATGAGTGACAATGACAGGGCAGGAGGATAATCGAGGCTGGGAGAACTGTTTGAAGAGCTGCATGTTGCGAGGTGGAGGCCGCTGGGATGGCTGTACTTGCTGCTGCTGATGAAGGTAGTGATGAAGAGGCCCTTCTTGATGTTCAGCCTTTGAAGTGTCGGTGGAAAGAGACTTCACAAAAGATTTCATTAAGTGACGGTGGCGTGCGTGCGATGGCGCAACGGTGGTAGGCGCAGGAGTGGGTTCTCGAGACTCAACATCATTTGACAAGGATCTGACCATGCTGAGGAAAGGTTTGGAGGAGGACAGCACTGCAGACTTGCCGGGGGAGGAGGAACCAGAGCTTGTGGAAGGGGGATTGGCTGAGGGTCGGTCAGAGGGCCAGGAGGAGCTAGCAGGAGGGTTAGAGCTCAGGTGGGAAGGGGTCGAGGTGGGGATAATAGTCATGGCTGGAGAGGATGTATGTGGATGAGGGTCTGAAGGGTCCACAGAGACGGAGGAAACAGGGAGCACAGCAGCTCCTGAGGATGTCTCCACACCAGCAGATTCAAACAGCAGTTCTTCTTTTGCCTCCAAGGCAGTGGCAACAGACTGCTCCTCGGCCCTTGACTCTTCTGGACCTTGAATTCCCCCTGCACCATCAAGCCCAGATTTATCTCCAGCAGATTCAACAGGTACCCCGTAGAGCTCCTCTTCCTCGTCGTCTTCCTCCTTCCCCAGAGCAGAGAAGTGGATGGTGATGGTGTCACGAGAGAGGGAGCGCTGCACCTGCAGCTTGGGTCCAGGGGCGTGGCGAGGGGGAGGAGTGTCAGCATGCTGCCCACTTCCCCTGCTGCTGCTGCCCTGACTGCTCATCACCACCCTGCACAGGGCTCACAACCTGGGAGAGACAGACAGAGACAGAAGCAGCATACTGTTAATAACCACGGAAACAGTGAAACACTGTTACAAAACATTGGTGTGGAAAAGGGGGTTGAGAAATTGCAGTGCCTATCAGCAACATGATTAAAAAACTTTTGAGATCCCCACATGCCCTCTGTGCACACACAACCATACACAGGACAGAAGAGAACAGCCTTGCAGCTCTTTATTCATCCTAATGTGAGTAGACTGGACAGGTACGTCCATGCTCCCCGATCCATTAGCCCTCATTATGCAAGGCTGTAGATGACAGACTGAGTCGCTCTCAGGCCTTGGCCTCTCTCTGTCTTACCAGCATCCTACTCACTCACTCACCCCCACTATAGCAACATGATTAATGGGTTACTTCAGAACACATGAGCCTTGAGGAGCAAGGCTGTATTTAACGCCACCCTCCACGGGGGGCAGACTGCAGCTGACTAAATGCTGTGAGGTGGATGAGATGGAGAAAACAAAGGCTATTATTCTGACTAGTGGATGGAAAATCATCATTATAGGCTGGAAATTATTATTTGAAATGATTTTAGCTTAAACCTGCATCAGTTCATTATTTCGTCCACTTGAAGTCAACAAAACAAGCTGAAAACCCAACAACTTATTAACTTATTATGGTGTAAGATGTTAAGAAAACAGTGGCTTTTTTACACACACACAGCCGATACAGTTCGACATTACCATCATGGTTCTGGCTAATGCCAAATCCTAGTCCAATATCCACTTTCAATTTTCCACTGTTTTTGGTCTCTACCAACTCCTGAGAAAAATATCTGGATCTTTAACAGTGAAATGATCCACCATGTTCACGGTCTAGTTGCTAACTTTGTCTGTCTGCTGTGAATGTAGCTGTTGGCATACTGTCAGTTTAGCAGAGCTTTTTCATTGAGTGCTGCTGCTGGATAATGAGAGTGGCGAGACTGAACCAAAACAGTAAAGTTGTGGGCCATTAAACCAAAACAATGAACTGAAAGATGCTAAAGTGCTCTATGTAAATGAGGGCAACTGCAGAATTGGGGGATAATTAGAGTGACCAGGTGTCCATGTCTCACACATTGATTGGCTCTAGTGTTCCGAATTCAAACCACTGCACAGACAATCTTTTTTATCCAAACACTGTGAAGAAAGCAGGAAAGGCTGTTATCATGGGACTGTCAACCAGAGGGAAAGATGTTACAAGCTTAGAATATAGGAGAATATAGTTTGTTTTTTAAGTTAGATAGACATTATATCAACATTTTAGACTACCTCTCAGCACTGCTAACGCATCCCACAGTGTCCCACACAAACATACTCTTTGTCCCTCATTTGGTTTGGTTTCGGTCACCCTAGAGATAATTCCATGTGGGTTTGTCACTATGGAGCAACATCCCTTGCATTATACATAATCATTTAACCCATTGTAAATATAAAAATATTACCTGGTGCAGCTTTACCTGATGTGCTTAACAAAAGGTGGAGATTCATTTTAAATTATACAATTAATTTTTTGTCTTTTATGTGTTCATATTTATGTCTCAAATGATGTACCAATGCTGCTCATTTAATTTGTTGTGTTTGTTATTTAGTCATTACATTTAGTCTTTTGTCAGACCAAGAGCGTCATGTATTGCATTATTTCTGTGCTCTATGGGATCCTAAAAGCGTAAACATATACATAAATATAACAAACCGTCCATCCCACATCCAATCATTACAATACACAGGACATAATCACACAACAAAGAAGCCGTTAAGCTCCAGTGATCACAGGAACAAGGTGTCTATTGTATTGTCTCAACACAGTGGAACCAAAGTCATTCATCATGCAGTGATTTCACTGAATGAGGTCTCAAATTGTTATTGAGTTATTGTGCCGGTTTATTCTTCCACAGCAGAGTCCATCGTCCCTGGTTAGCATTATCAAACTGGCCAAACAAGTACAAACACACACACTTATACACCTATGACGTGCACAATCATGCTGTTTGCACACACACAGTAACTTGTCCTTTGGCTGGTTGATAAAAATGGGCTGTAATGGAAGAAGGAGGGACGGAGGGAAACAACAGAGCAGTTAGCTTGTGTGATTGTCTGCATTTCTGAGAAAGCCCCGGCGCCCCTTGAGGCTCTCTAGTTGGCACTGCGTCTCCAGAGATTGTATTTGCTGGGATGAAATAACAGAGCATTTGACTTTCCCAGCCAGCCATTCACTTGGCTGTGCTACAATGAGTTTTTGTGTGTGTGTGTGTGTGTGTGTGTGTGTGTGTGTGTGTGTGTGTGTGTGTGTGTGTGTTGTTGCTTCTGCCATGGCTGTGCTAGGGGCACAACAGATCGAATAAAAACAAGGCAAGAGAGAGATGGAAAAAAGCAACAAAAAGAAGAAAGATGAAGCGCCTCAGGGGGATCTGTAGAGGCTACAGACGACCTTTCAGAGACAAGCTTTTGAAGTGGAATTCACTTAAAGACAGCAGAAAGGCAGAGACGGAGAGAGAAAATGGGGAGGATGACACAGACGAGAGCGAGTGACAGAGAGGAGAGAGGAGGGAGGAGACAAATGAGTGGGGAGACAGAGCCATGGAGATGAAAGTGGTTGTTGTTGTCATCAAAGCCTGAAGGACGGACTAAAACATTGTGGAGGTCGGCAAGGTGAGCAGAGAAGGATGCAGGAAGTTTTCCTGGAGTGGGGTTTTAGGAGAACGCAGCCAAAAGGAAAAAGCGACACAGCATCTCTCAACCTCATATTCAAAAAAATGTTGTTAAGTGTGTACTATTTGTCCAAAGGGGACAACATGTCTCACATCCAGATTCAAAGTGGCAAACATGCATACAGGGTTCAGTGGACCAATTCTTTACTGATTTCAATCACACACACACACACACACAATCATTTTAAATAACATTTTAATCAAAGTTTTAGATTTGATCACAGATTGATGGGTAAATTTCAGCCTTTACATAACAGGCTACTAAACATGAGTCATTCTAACATAAATATACAAGCATACAAGCATTCATCAGCTGTCTGACAAAGGGCTTTTCTTTGTCCCAGAAGTTTTTAAAGTTCCCCCTCCTCCGTGCTACTGGAAAAACAATGAACATTTGTGTACAGTTACAGTCATTATTTCACAAAACACAACTTTATTTCACAAAAGACAGCGTATCAGTTGTATCAATTTCCATTTGCACCATTGATTTGAGGTATAGGAAGTTCCAGAGAGATGATGTCTGTGGTCTACCAAATGGTTGAGTAGTACCTTAAAGGGATAATGGGAGAATCCACTGTAGTATGAAGAGGCTTCCACTGTAATACTATCAATATATGGCAATTAAACAATACTCAAAATAACTATTAGTTGCAGTCCTACATCGATGATCTGTTTAAAGAGTGTTTACATTTTAAACTTTAGACTTACACAAAGATACCTAATTTTGTAGATACCTACATCTGTGTTATTTATTTCTACATTTCAATTTCTCTAAAGCTCAGACATGTTTTGGATAGTTTAAACATACATAAAATGTATGTTTTGTAGTGCTATGTCACAGATATCCCAAAAGATCCTATGCTTTATGAGAGCTAAAACATTGATGATACATAGATGGAAACAATTCTAGCTACCCGCACAATGTTTGCTGACACACCCACAGATGTAGATATTTCCTTTCATCAATACACTGCTGCCATTACGTACAAGCCTTGTGTTTGTTTTAGCTGCTTCTGGACGAGAAAGGGTGAGAGGAGAGGAGAGGAGAGGAGAGGGGAGGAGAGGAGAGGAGAGGAGAGGAGTCTGGCACAGAGGCAAGAGTCATCCAATTAATCAAAGCAAGCAGTGCCACTCTAATCAGCTAAAGCCAGCACCCCGGGAGATGAGAAAAGAGGGAAGGGAGGTTAAAAGCAGCTGGGTAAAAAAATGACATAAGAGGGTGAACGGTAGACAGTAGAAAGGGGAAAGGAAGTGCAAAGCATACATAGGAGACTAGGGAGAAAAGCAGGAAAATGGCACAGAAAAAGCTGTGCAGTGAACTACTTTTACATAAATAAATGTTGTAATATTAGATATCCAAAAAGATATACATTTCCTTATCCACAGTATGTGACCCTTTCCCACCCCCAAAATCCTGATTCAGCTTGAAATACATTAAAATGCATATTCGTAGTTGGGAACAAGGGGGGGGAAAAACCATTGAGTGACGAAGAGGAGGGGTGTACAGAGTGGGTGTAGAACGAGGGATGGGGATGTATTTATGGTCAGTTTATGCCGCCTTCAGCATCTCATCTCTTTCTCCTCCCAGCTGACTGAACCACTTAAAACCACCAATTTACTCCAATATTCAAGAGCCAAGAAGCGCTCTTAATTGATTAAAGACCTCCAGCTGTGCTACAAAAAAAACTATTTCCTTTATATTCTGCTTGTTTCATTCCAACTCATGTACTGGGCCTGACAGATGCTGCAGCAGAGTCCATATGTGCCTATTTTTCAGTCTCTTTCTTTTTGACAGAGACTCACCTAGTTTTCCTCTCCTCTCTCTGCATTTGATGGATCGGTAGATACTTCTGGACTGTCACACACCCTGACAAATATCAGGCCCTGAGGAGGCATGTAGAGCAGGAGGGGTGAGTCCATATGTGTGTCCTTACTCGCCCTGTGACGACCTACTGTCCTTGTACAAGTGTCACACAACACCAGGGAGCACAGACTGGGGGTACATTTAGAGACTGACACGAAAACTAGACATTTTGGGAAAATATGTGGATTTGCTTGCTGATGGAGAGTTAGATGAGATGCTTGATACTTGATATGTACAGTAAATAGGAGGTTACAGCTAGCACAAAGTTAGCACAAAGACTGAAGACAGGGGAAAACAGCTAGCTTGTCCAAAGGAAACAAAATCCACCTACCAACACCTCTAAAGTACAAATACTAAACAAAAACCAAGTGTAAAAATGTCAGTGAATTTGTCGTTTTATGGGACTATGGGAGC